TATATATATATTTAAATAGCCCTCGCATTCAGCCACTTTTTCTGAAACATATCTTAAATTTGGTCTGCGGGGTCAACTGGATAATCTGGGGCATTCCAGATTTTACTGCAACAAACCCAAATATGTTAACGCAGAGCTCAGTGCCTGCAAAATGTTTAAATTATTATTCTCAATCAATCTCGAGTTACTATTTTGTTTCGAACACAAACCCGTTTCCTCTGCAAAATCGAATGTATGCGTTTCGAAGAAAATCTATTTACGCAATAGAGTTTATTTTTAGTAAAAATTAATTAATTAGGATTATCCAGACTAAATAGGATTTATCCAGAGTTCAGGAGCGATCCTATAGTATGGTAGTATGATTAGTGATGACATCGATAAGACTTGTAGACAGTCAAACGTCAATTTACCGTGAACAAAACGTAAAAAACAAAACTTCGAAACTGGGTGAAAAGCCACGCATTTACCGAAACGGACGAAGATTTTTTACGCTATTTTGGCTGATGAAGCCAAATCAGCTGATAGGGTGCCGAAGAGAGAATATTTTTCGACTAAAAAAAAACTCATTTAGCATGGTCATTGTAGTCACTTTAGACGCTTGAAAACGCTCTTGGAAAGCTTCTTCAGCTAGAGGCGATTAAACACGATTTTTCTTCTGGAAGTGTATAGATTGCAACTATTAGATGGTTTCATATTAAGCTAATCGCTCCCCTGGTAAACCGACTCAGACCGTAACTACTGTATTTCACAAGGACTGTGTATGTTTTTGTTTTTCGTACTTTTATAAATCAATGAAAAACACTTAAACAGGACATAAGACCAGTAATGATAATCCACGTACTGTGCACATTTTGGTCACGAGCAAGCCGATGTAAATTAATATAGTCACAGTTCGTTACCAATATTTTATAGACATGTACTTCCCGATTATTAAGTTTATTTAATTACTCAATTTATAACCGCAGCGGACCTGCGTTCATTCAACAAACTGTTGGCCCTAAAGCATGTAACTCACAAAAAAGGTATCCAGTCGATCCCTTTGTTTTCCTCTGTGTTCCGCCTGCATCATGCACTGTGCTTTTTCCAACAAACATAAAAAACGAATAGTTTATAGTTATGGACGTTTATATAAAGTGAAATAGTCACTAGGGCGTATGCATTTTCGTAAGTAGAACGTATGAAGAAGTATTCAAAGCGTTACAGCGTCGCGATTACCTATACAAACAACCATCCATGATCACACTCAGATACGTACTTCCCCACACCTAACACGGTCCTTCTCGATTGATTTGCGCTTTCGTCGCGCACTCATAAGGTAGACACGTGACCCCCCTCCTCTTGTTTAGTCGCTAGTTTTGCTGCATAAGGCCGTTTACAAATTGTGCCTACATAGCTACATTCAGTGTTACAGAAAAGGTATGGGTTTTCGCGCACGTGAAGGTGTAGCAACTCCCGGGTGTCGAGCTCTCGCACGCCGAAATGCCCACTGCCACAACAAGATGAATATGGTTGACCCACCTGTCTGCTACGACTGTCGCAGGGTTTCTTTCTGCAGCTATTATTGCAACATGATGGCAGGTAAAGACGATTGCAGCAACAGTGGTAACATCAGGAAGCAACTCGACTACTTCGCTGCAATAGGTGCTGCTGCTGCTGCTGCTGACTCGCGATGAGTGTTCAGCAGTTTGAGACATAACCGGAACGTATGTCGGCCCATCGCTTACGAGGGCTGCCTTTCTGAACGCTCTTTCATAGACACTAGCGACCTACTACTATGCTAATAGAACGCCATTGGTGAGACTCGTACCTAAAGGCCACGACACACCGTCGCTTGGGTATACGAATTTTGCGGCATTATGTGGCCGGTAAAATAATTCACTAATACGGGACACTTCCCATGTATACACGTAGATGAAATAGATAGTCCGTAGTACGGTCCAGGTAGAACTATTCTGCATGTGGATCCATGCAACGATAGTAGTCGATGACGAAAGTTGGCAATGAACGATCATAGGAATCAACTGCTATTGAGAACTAAACGCAAAAAAAGGTGACGATCGGATATCTAGTTCAATAAGTGAATACGACTTCATTATAGCAGCTTGATATGCGTGTATTGCTAAGCAATTCCCGTTTTGTGTACTGAGCTCGTTGCATGTCGGCGGGACCAAAAAAAATCATGAGCCTAAAAAAAATTATAACTAGTAGTATACGCAACGTACTACGGAAATACTGTCTATGTGTCTTTTCTTGTCATTTTTAGCAGTAATCTTTCATGTTTACACCGTTACGCATCGGAAAATTTGTTGATGAAGTCATGGTAACCCATGGAAATACTGGTATTCTGGATACGATATCCACTCCCATAGGGTTTGCTAAGAGATTTGTGATTTTACACAGACTCATACTAGGCCTACACAGAAATTAGTAACTTTAAAAATCCAGTCGGCCTGTACAATTGGCAAATCAATCTGGAAACATCCGCTCCGACAGCGCCATGATCCATTAAGCTGCGATGACACGCAGCGGTCTTTAGCGCTATACACGTCTCGTTACAACTCCATGGACCAATGGATTGATATTTATGTAAGCCTTAATTTGCGAATAATTAGCACCTTTTGTAACATTACGGAGGGGCCAGATATGAAAAACCGAATGTTTCGCAATAAACATAATTGCTACTAATTATTTTTATTGAGCTTTATTACGCGCACGTTGCAAACGACGAAAATCTAAACGATAATTGAAAATGTCAAACAGGTAGCTAAATAACAACCTCACCGTGATTAGGCCCACTCCAAGACCTACTGGCGTATTTGGTAATGCACTGTAAACCCGCCGTGTCTTGGCCTGTTGCAGCAGAATAGGTATCCTTCGTAACACTGCTTTCACACCAACCACCTGACCGATCTCCAGCTAACCAGAGGAACTCACAAAATCGATCATTAGCACTAGCCGTAGATACATTGATAAGGTGAATCGGCGATGACACGTACCTCCCGTGGACACCGAGCTGGTTAAGGCTGGCGCTCAGAATTTATCCTCCGAAGAAGTATATTCCACACCTTTACGTCTTGCTGTGTACGTCCCGCAACAACGATCAAAATGTCGGATGACTGGACGTACCGGTCGCCTTGGACCGCCCAATGTGTGTTGCCCGACGTTGTCCTATCGGAGTGAACGCTGGCCCGCTTAACAGCTTGCAATTCTTAGCGGTCCCGGGGTCCAGCAGGCCTCCTCTCGACTCGATGCAACGATGAGCCTGGCCTACCGGAGAGTTGGCCCCGAGATTGGTTGATCTGCCGCGCTGCTACGATCTGGTCTTACGATCACCGGGTGCTGGTACTGAGTAAGGCCTTAAGGGCAAAACACGGAGAGTGCCGCCACCTTGCGGCTAGTCTGAATGTAGGCCAATGATGAGAGTCTAGCCGAATGGCCGATCAGCACTGGTCGACAGCAGTCGCTAGCGTTGGCAACAGTCGCCAGAACATGGCAGGCAAGACCACGCACAGGGGCCCCGGCCAGATTCGCCAATGCTGGGACGAAAGTGGCCAGTAATGGGATGTCTCTTGGGCTAGTAGGCTCACAGCCAGATTATACAGGAAGGCTGTAGCAGGGTAGATTGCGTTTACTTTGGTGTTAGAGTAAGCGCTTTAGTCTACGTGCAACGGTCAAAAGGAAAAAATACAAGACGCGCTCTATTTTCGGAGCTTTAGTATGTGCCTGTCCCATTGTGTCTGATTTTGGAAAGGCTGTGTGTAGTACTGGCTAACAGGCAATAATGGCAACGTTTGCAATGGTTCGCGAGTCACCGCCAACACTAACGATAAGACTGCGAAGACAGAAGTCATTTAGGTGAAGGGAGGTTTGCCTGCATTTGTCGTACTATCATCAGACAGATGACAAAACGGGACACCGAAGAAGCGGAACTTCAGCACCTACGTTTTGAATAATGCACGACACAAACATTATCTGGCTTGAATCGAACGAGGCGTAATAACTGCTCGCTGCTTCCGTAGCTGTTGCCTCTACCGTTGTTTGTTGTCGGCGATTTAAAAGGCAACGGTGCGGCATTCCGTACCGCAACTTTTGCGAAAGAGGAAAACAACTAGCCAACGTCTACCTGTCAAAAGCATTAATAAAGGAAATCTTGGTTCAACTACTATTCATATATACTACTATTTCATGACATAGTCTATGCTGTATGCCAGTTGAATGCTACAAATATGCAACCCAATTAACGTATAATTTTTACGGGAAAACGAGAATATTCAACGACTCATAATAAGCCATTTGACATAATCGACGACAATAGATCAGTTATTAGCGGTTGGCTTTTTTGGTTGGACAATATGCAATTAAAGATAATAACTTATTTACAGAGCAAGGTTGAAAAAATTTACCAAAATTCCACTAACCTTCGGAGTTAATGAGTCATAGACTTGGCTTTTAATTTGCTCGCCGTACGCAAATAACCTCACATGTCCCTATACTAAAATTTGTCCTATTGGATTTGCTGCCCGTAAGTAATCTGAATCTTATAATTCATTCAAACTGGCGATCATTCGGTTAAATGTTATACATTGCTCTGCAGTAAGGTGGAATGAGCCGTTATGACGAAAATATTGGCGCGTAGCTATAGAGTTTGGTAAATAGTCATGCCTGTGTGAGTAACTCTCTGCTTGGTCAGTACGGCGCCATAGTTGGTCGGCATTTGTTTGGGCCGTGAACTCGCTTAGAAGCTCTTGATTTGCCGTTCGTGCAAAGGAACTGTTCTAGTAGAGTTTTCAAAGGGCTGAACCCATGTCATCGGTCAACTATTCAAGAGCGTGACAAAGACGTGTCTATAACAGCCATTGAGCGGCCGGTAATAATGATTGTTGCCTCAGTGTCTTCGGTCGCACTTCAATTTAGACACGCCGTTTTCCTAATGTTAGGAAGAATCAGCCCTTTTGCCACGTACCACCATTACTTTTTCAGTTACTCTCCGACCAATGTACACAGATATGAGTACAACTATGCATTAGGATAGAATATATGGAGATAGGAAAATTAGTTGTTGTATTAGTATGTGCTCTTCATGAGGACGTCATTTAGCATATAATATACACATAAACTTGTTGATATATTCATTAAAGGATGACCTCGGATGAGCATCACACATTATTCGACTAAGTATAAGATAATCAGAGAAAATCTCGCAGCAATATTTATTGCAAACTAGGTATGACAAAAATAGGTTTCGCTTACAAATCGAAGACAGGGAATACAACGGTGCTGCTTTCAGGTCCGGACAAACTAATCAGTTAACACCTACCTAGTAAAAGCAGCGCCGTTGAAGGTAAAGTCAAAAGGAAAATCACACACAGTTCTTATTTTTAGTGTTGAGTCAAGGCGGACGGTAAACCTCGAGGCAGGACCCTCGGTTCGAAGGGTTTCCCACGCTACCGACCTTACCAAATGCCACAGAGCGTCTTGGGCTTCACTAGTTTGTCGTTTTCAACCGTTCTCAATACACCCACAACCGACAAACTTCAATGGTACATCTGGAATTCCTCGATCTGTTGGTCTCAGATACACCGCCTGCAAACTCAAATTAAGCCAATGGAAAAATCGCCCACCTCGAGTATATTACAGCTAACAAGAAACCAAATTCCAACGCTGCATTTTTTTCCTGCGTCTACAGATAAATAAATGAAACGTTGGGCAGGCTCGAAGTGTGTCGAAGCGACAGTACTTGCGTCTATAAAGGAGTACAAAAAAATATCATTTGTTGGTATAATCGTGTCTAGAATGATGGCGGCTTCACGTGCGTTATGCCCACTTTTACGTTTCGCAAACTAAGTCTCTCTGGGATCAGCATCTGAGGTCTTCCTTCATCAAACGATAGCTTGGTATGGAGGGGTGTACCGGCCTCGTTACGGAACCGTTTCATTTTAGAGTAGTCCTTTAGCGTACACCGTCATAGAAGGTAAGTTTGAAGCTGAGAATTCACTTTTCTTCAAGCAATTGAACAGCCAATTTGTAATGTAAAGCCTGTAATGAGCGAAGTCAGCGAACCCACCGGCCGTTTCGTTTGTGGAACATGAGAAAGACGATCGAATTTCTATCGATCAATTGACTCAACTGGGTAGTAGAGTCCTATAGGACTGGTGCACAAAAATGGCGCAACATATCCCCAGTCTGAGGTTATTATTACTTCTGTAAAAGTGTGCACGTTATTCCATTCGCTGAAATACTTGGTTCGTTCATCTGGGAAGTGAAAATTCGAAACGGAAAACTATTATATAAATTGACAGCTATAAGGACAAGTGTAAAGCTGCGTCCTGGATAAAATGTCGATTTTTCGGTGAATAATCCAGATTTGGCTCGAATTGTTGGATTAACCATACTTGAAAATGGCATCATTTAATACTAAAAGAATACACTCTACAGTCGCCAATTGATTAAACAAGTGAGAGAACAGAGCTCTGAATCCTTTTATTTCTGATCGCTAATAATGAACTGTAAGCGAAAATTAATACAGTGAGTAAATTTCTCTTCTTTTTTCACAATTAAACTTTTGCCACACAACGAGTATCACCGGCACGAATAGAAAGGTTAAAAAATCTGAATTTAATTTCTGAAATTTTGGCCAAAAATTTTATTGCAGATTGCTTGGCGTGTGTTTTTGAGCCCCATGACAAACTTGCGTCTGTAGTAATACTCCATTCGTAGACTAATCGTACCCATTTATTGATAAGCACGATAGATTAATGAAGCAAAATAGATCTTTGAGAATGCGTTTAACTAATAATGCTAGCTTACCAATTCGCATTGTGCAGTCTTGTCGCGTAAGGCCACGGATTTCGACATAAGTATGGAACTGGAATGTGCGGCCGCTGAAGAAAAGCCCTTATCCTTGTTGCTTCCGTTCTCAGTATCATCATCTTCTGGAATGTTTTGTTGGCCTAGTGGAAAAAAGTCACCTTCCCCTGGCACAACCGCATCGCTTCCTTCTATAGAACAAAATATAAACTTAACATAAGTTATATACCTATATAACTAAATGCAAGTTGCCGAACTCGCAGTCAAGAGGTCCAATCGAAACTGTGATTTTTTCCAAAGAACCTGAGTTTTTACTTGGCTACGTCTGACCAGCGTGGATATTATTCGAGATGGGCTCCATCGGGTAACTGATCGTAAGTCCAGCGTGCTGTCGCGATGTGGCGCTATGCGATAGTTAAATCACCTACCGAATGACGGTTGTCGAGTCTTTCGCTGCCAATCACGATGAGGTGAATGCCTATAAGGCAGAAATCCGCTGCCAGAAGGTGAGACTAGCTCTTCGTTAAGTAAAGTTCCGATTGAAGACCGCGCTGATGATATTGTTGAGGTCTGCAAATATATAAAATTATATATGTATGACGCATGTATAAAAGTCATATTTAGATTATATAACTGCTGTATAACGAGTAACGTACTGGAGCATCAAAACATGAAAAAGCGATACCTGAACGGCAGTAGCAACGGCTGCGACCATAACCAAAAAACGTGAGCGGTGCGTTCTGCTCTAAAAGAGCCACAGGTATCGCGGGTTCATTGCTCACTGATGCAATGGATTGGATAATCAACAACCGACACAAAGTAATCTGATATATAGCACTTTACAACAGGGCTGATAACCCACAATGTAAGCCTGCTGTTCGCAGATTCCGATGGGAAACTGAGTAGTGTGTCAGGTAAGCCTGTTACTGAAATACGAATGAGAATTCTAGCCGAAGCATCATCACAACGGACACCCAACGATCTTCTTTGAGCTACAAATCGAATAGCGCTGTGCTTAAGGATGCATGCAGCGACCCCCATTCGTTTGCAGGTTTTCGTTGGCGGTCGGAAACGACAATCCAAACCAACTAGGTCGTTTAGATAGTTAAGATCTAGGCTTTTACCTAGAATAGCTGCTTTTATCGGTAACACTCTCTCAAAAGTTTTTCTTATTAGCGTGGATTCACTTTCAAGAAACTAACGTTCGCGTTTAAGTTGAACTGCTGGCACACTTCAATGGTCCACGGGCCGCATTTATCTCAGAATGCTCAAAAACGGGGTTCAAAAACTTTTGAAGTTTGCAAAGATTGTTTGGATTTGTCTACTGCTTCGGCCTCTTAATTTTTCGTTTACTCAATGGCATGGTAACTGTGACCACTTTGTGCCAGCCACAAAACGCTAGCTTTAGACGGTTACGTTGTTTGTAAAAGAGGAGAACTTGCAACATTTCGCCCATGCTGAATACCTGCGAAGAGACTCTGAAAATTCGTTTCGTGTGTGGTCTGTAGCTAAACGATATAGGCTTAATTAGCAATTGTTTTATTTCAAAAGTGGCTCAAATTTGGAAATGTATAGTGAAATGCGTTTTTAGGCCAAGAATGCCATGTTTAAACCTTCAAATGATGTTTTCGCCTATAGGATCCCTATCGTACACACCGCCTATATCCTGAATTGTTTTGGTCACCTTACATGATCTCAGTACATTACAATACAAATAACTCATGTCGTATAATAATGCTCTCTGCTACCAAATAGACTCCTTCGCTTTGAGATTCAAACTTTTCGTATTTTAAAAGTTACTTGGACACGATGCTTGAAGCGACTATCTTTGCACCCAGACAGTATGCATGTACAACCAAGCTTATCGGCCGTTGAACGGGCAACACTGCTGATAGAAACGCGTCGTGTTAAATGATTATTCAACATAGCAATCGACTCAGTACGATGACCCTTCTTCCTAAAAACTGTTGGCCCTTTACTTCCAGAAAGTTCCATTGTGTACAACAGAATGATGGTATGAACACAATTCACAGATCGCGAAGTGATAACAAATTAAAGCAAGTTTTAATTTCAGATCGTTAATTGTCTTCAGGCTTCACTAACGTATTTCACATCTTCGTGTGAATAAATCTTCACAATCTAGTCCATTTCTTGCATAAGATAGTCGAAAGCTATGCAAAGAGTGTACTAAATAATAACCATGATGATTTATGCGTGCGTTCAACTTGCATAGTTCATACTTTTTCCGGACCGACAGTGGACCGGCAGTGTCGCACAGCCTGTGTCTCTGGACTCCCTCTGGACACCACCGTGGAAGCCGTGAAGAAGCGCGCGCTTTGTCCCGTAATCATGCCATAGCTACTTACACTTATTTAATGCTTAAATCTATAGAAAAGACACTTTATTTAAACACAAGGAGTTCTTTAATCAGAAAGAAAAACGCAGCTTACAAATGTAGAGAAGCTGTCTTGAATTGGGGCCTCCAGGTCCGAAAAAGCATCGCAGATATTAGGATGACCCGAAGAGCCTTGAGAAGTCGCTGGCGTACTTGGTTTCTGAATTTAGTTTAATAATCGAGAGTCGTTAATAAAGGAGATCAGTTTAGAGTGGAAGATGTCTTAGGGTTCAAATAGCCAACCTTAACACAGCTTTAACCTTATGCACCATTTTACTTGACTTGGTTCAGGAAAACAGTATCTACAGACGATAGCAAATGTTCTGATGTTTAAGGAAAATAGTTTTACCGTTACCCTAATTGTATGTTTCGCCAACTGCAGTTCACCTGTTTTTGATAGTCGTGATGTATTTTGCGGAGTCTGTTCGTTTCCCGCTCCTCAACTTCATCGTCTTCCTCCTCCAGAGTTAGACTTTCATCATCGTCATCATCCTTCCGAGAGATCTCCTCAAGGAAGCCCTGCCGAACGAAGCCATATTGTCTGTTATACATGCAGCATTCATACCTAACATAACATCTAGAAGCAATTTTTTAGAGGGACATACTTATCACAACGCTTTCCGATAGGTTAAAACAATTGCTAAGGCCGGCTGTACTTACTCGAGCGTGATCTGGACTAAAATACCAGAAAAAGTCATGTGGTCTGGCGCATAAATACATACGGCGCATTTAAAGCAAAGGGTTATACAGAATTCTTCGTAGTGACATACCAGACACAGCATAGTACAGTTGGCCTTAATGGGTCTTTTTTCCAAGCTGACGATTTGTCATCTGTGTAAGGCACGTTTAACAAAGTATTTTTGTTCTCCAAGATAGAAGAAGCTGAACAAAACGAATTAGAAACTCTCACTTCGATCAGTAACTAATGAATCGAGTTGGGTAGTTCTACCCTATGTAAAATTTAGAACATTTACTTTCAGTATTCCAATTCAACATTGTTAAAGAACGATGGAATCAAAATTAGAGGACACATACTACTCATGACCGTGGTGAGCAAGTCGTTCCCGCTGGGAAAATGTACGATTTATGCCGATATGAAGCCTAGCCTGCATCAGAGACATCTCCTACGAAGCCTTCACTAACGTGAACGTGTTATTTCTGCCATTCGCGATGAGCTACTTACTTGGAACTGTTCACTGGCTGTGAGGGCTTTCTTTCTAGATGTCCGAGCACTGCTGCTGCCGGATGGTGTCTCCCGCTTGGCGGCTTCAGCATCTGCGCCGCTTAGAGCCCCTACCAAGGAGTCGTCTCCATCTTCGTCGTCTTCGTCAGACCCATCGTCAATAAGGATCAGCAGACCGGATTCGCGACCTGTAAGCACATATCAAACCACTGTTTGAAAAACAACTTGGGTTTAGAATTTGTGTTTGGGGAACACTAATTAATTTGATGCTAGTTTTAGTGATTTTGACTTACTACGGCTTCCTACTAAATAACGAAATTAAATAATGTAGGCAAAATTTTGCATACTTTACATACGATTTACGAAACATGGAACACGAGAATGATGGAAACAAAGACGATGGTTGACGTAATTAATGTCCATCGTAATCGTAACCGAATCGTCGTAATAAACTGGCATAATGAAAAAGATCTCGACTACTAAAATGAATATCTTAGCCCTTGTAGAACCTAATTTCCTAATGAAGGACAATTGTTTCGATTAGCATCAATATCATAGCAGCATCGTGGATGCATTAATACCTCTTCTCATTGATTAATGAGTTTTATGATAGTTCCCTATGTTTGTTCCCATACAATACGTATACTACATTTGGTTCGTCACCGCAACAGTGATGCTTAGATCATTATGGCACACATCCGCCACCGACAATGCTATCTTGCCCCAACTGCTCAACACCTTCATGATGCATTTTAGCACTAATCTGAGTTCAACGAAAACAAGGCATGAAGTTCCGAACTCAGGCGAAGTTCCTACAGACTTGTGACTCGAAATACCGAGCTCATCCTCAAGTTCACAATCGCTAAACACAAAACAACAGGGGCCTCTAAACGGTGGTGCAGCTGAGGTCACGACTGAAATAACAGGGTTAAATACTTTTGCTTTGATAGCTGGTTTCATTGCGGCTGCAGAGGAAAGGTTTAGGTAGAACGGCAGAATTATGGATAGTCTCTCCCTTATGTAAACGGCAACGTTCCAATCCGGCCAAATAAATACTGTGCCCTTTTGCTGGCTTGAATAGCTGACTAGCACAGTGTTTGTGATGTTGCCATTGCCTCCGCTTATACCTCCACTATTATTGTCAGCGTTGGCAACGGGAAGTTCTTGTTCATAGGGCCGCTTACGACCGTCGAAAAGCAAGGAAAAGCTGCTGAAATAGGGTGCATAGGTGGCTGTGGGATGAGCCTCAGTTTGTGAGCGGCTTATTCAAAGAACAAGAGAGAGGAAGACGACGGGAGCTAGAAGCCTCTATTTTCGTCATTCGCAAGTTAACTGCCGAAAAAAAAATTGCCCACAGCTCGATTCGAAGCCGCATCAAAGAAGCAACGTCAGATTGGATAAATGGTTTGGATTAAAGGCAAGTCATCCTCTCAGAGGAAAGGCGGTAACGTAGGGTTTAATTCGCTGCTACTGGGCTCGTTTAATGCACTGCTGCTTGTTATTAAGTGGATTCGCTGAGTTTCTAGCAGGAGACTGTTGTACTCATTTTCAGTGAAAAAGCATCTCAAACAGCGAAAATTGATCTAAACAACGTGGCCGTTCCACTGATGGCTGCCTTCTGGAAACCTGCGAAAGGTTCACCTGTTTTATGTTTGGAAGGCACTGAGCCTGGAATGTAGTGAGACAGAGGTACCGGCGCGGTGAAATTCTTCTCGTCTGACCTAACTGCGTACAGTTGTGAAATCTCAATGAATGCCCGCTCCGATACCTTATTGGAGCGATGATGCCTACCATTATGATGGTTTAAAGAAAAACAACAGCCGCCATATAGTGTCTTGAAGGTCGAGACCTTCTCATGCGTGTGCAGGCACGCCGCCCACGTTTAATCACCTTGATGGACAGACCCGGGTACCATAGTCACCGTATCTGAATATTAGCACTCTATTTACAATGAAAAGTTTTTTTTTTCTATTAACGGGATTGCATGGATTACATATCTCATTTAGAACCTCATTAGTAATTTTTTTCCTAAATTTGAATAAATCATACCTTTCTCATAAATCCTAACGTCGTCGAAGATTTGAATTAGCAGCTTGATGCTGGCAATGTATTGATTAACAATTGCCGAGCTTTTAAAACTATACATAACGTATTGTGTTCATAGGGCGTTGAAAGAGCGATAAAACCAAGGCCATGAAAAAAAAGTAAAAAGTGAAGTAACGGTCGCAAGCAGCAAGAGGTGGTCCTGGAAGAATGATATCTTAAAAGTCTGTGCAAAAAAGTAGCGGGCCACGTTAAATAAATGCTGTAAAGTTGGGTGATCAATTACACACAGTATACACAAATTCATCAAAAAAACAACGGCGACACGCCTAACTGCCCGAGGTTTGCGTCCATCGTGAATTCAATAGATTCAATAGCGAGACTACGGCACTGCGGATTGTAGTTAATGGAACTAATAGAACTGTGCCTTACATCGATAATAATTAGCGCATTATTTAATGTGAAACAATGCTGTTCATGACTGTATTCTTTACGGAAAATTATTCGCTGCGAGGTTCCCAATGCCGTTAAAACAAGGGTGCTGTTCTGTATGAGAAAAAACGACTATGATACACGACCCAGGCAGCGCTTCGCTTTTTGCTTGTGCTCGGTTGTTATAATACGATGATGAATTGTGATTTCAAAATTTCAAGAAAGTTGCAGGTGCATTTTTTTGATGAGACGTTAGTATAGCTTAAAGCTGGTTACTTTACGAGTGCGAAGGAGCAAGAAACACATCCGCTACTACCATACCATACAAGTTTGTTGTGCGCGTATCTATACAAACTAGGTTAAAGATCAGATAAGACCCTTGAGCGACCTAAGATGACTCGTTATTTCACCCAGTGTGCTTCTGAAATATGTAAAATGGCTACGAACTTCCTCGAAAATCTGCTTCGGCAGGATCAGTCGTCTCCGAGCGTTCAAGCGAGCCTGAAACATCATAGACATGTATCGTATGAAACGCGCACGAAGCTCACATGTCAACGTTGTTTGAATTTTCGATGGCAACAGTGTTGAATAATCCTATGTTAGCTCTTTCATAATTTCGAGCTTCATAGCATTTGCTTGTGGATTCGCTTAGCAGCACATATACAGTAAAAAAAAGTGAACCAATAATTACATCAGATGTAAATGCAAATGTAAAAGCCAAGTAAAATTAATTTGGCAAGCTGGTAGTACTACTAGGAGTATTTTAATGTCTACAGAATTTTTAAAAAGTTAAGCAACCCTATAGAGGGTCGACGACGTTCAGATAATGTCATGGATGGTAACATTTTACGATAATCTTTCTTTTTCTGTAAACACATATTTAGATAGCGCCATAGATTTGAAAACAATAACATCTGATGAACTCACACATTCAGCATACTTAACACGGGCATAAAATATTTTCAATGCATTACTGACCTACGGGGGGATCGTCCTGAACAAAGTAGACATCGGTGAAGCTGGACACGGTCTGCCCATCAGCAGCCTCCACTCGACACTCGTATTCCCCTTCATCAGCCTCACCGACGTTGCCGATCACCAGCTCGTGCCTGTGACAACATTTCGCTTCTGACAATATGTATTCTGCTCATACCTTGACCAAGACCTCATAACTGCCTAACAATGCTTTTAGGATATGTATGCTATAAATAAGCGAGAAGCAGCCTTTGTGAACTATTAGGCAGGACGAAAAGGCAGTAGTCACAAATCGAATTGCAACCGCTCCGCCACGTCAAATTCTAATATAACTTACAACCATTTATACAAGGGCGAAATACATATCGAAATTAAATATTACGTTATAACCTAATTAAAAAAATGAACAGGTTTGCAATGTTAATCATCTTATTTTTTAGTTAAACTTTCTTTGTCATGACTGGCAGTTCCATTAACTGACTTCCGGTAACTGGTAAATTGATTAAACTTCTCAAATGGCTCAGAGGACATTTACATCTCAAGAACAAACCTTGGGCAAAGCTTGATTTCGTTTAAATATTCGACAACTAATCGAAAAAAACCCTGCTTAACTGTCCATTTTCATGGATATTATTTTGATAATTGGACTAATCGATCTCGCCGACGGTCACTCGAAATACCGGGTTTTTTCATTCTGCTTTTTCTAAGTAAAACTAATTTGATTATACCTAATAGGCACGAGTTAAATTTTCTTGATTTGCTTGCACATTCCTTATTCTAACATAGATTATCTTTGTATATTTCTAAAATCTGTTATGTTTCGTAGGCTATTATTATATTTATTAGACTTAGTTACTAAATGAAATGAAAGTTTCCTTACGAAGTTTGTAAAAAATTATGTTAGACTTAATCGTAAATTTTGATGAGAACCGCGTTAAGCTGTTTACGTGAACTCTTGAAACAAACTCTTGATAAAAATGCGTTGTTAATGATGTCTATGCTTTTTTTTAAATGTGCTTGTAGATAACTTAAACTTTTAACTTACCATCCGTTGGGGTGCGCCTTGATGTGCCTTCTGGACGAGTTGTGAACTACTTCTCCGCAGTGTAACCAGCTCACCCGGAAGACACTAGCATCAATTTGTACCTGCATAACCATATGCAATTAGGCCAGTAAAAACGCGCATACATCGGTCGATGGAATGGCAACAAAACACTGAACAACAACGATAATTTTTGCTGGGATATTACCAGCTGAAAATTTGCAGTTCGAATCTACCTAGTGCGTTGCTATACGTACGTGTCTTTCGTAAAGGACAAAAACACAAAAATGGTACTTTCAATTAACAATATTGTTACCACACCTGAAATGTGAGGATGTCCCCTGGCGCAATTTCAGTGATGACCGGCAATTCATGAAGAAAGCGAGGAGATTGTGATACCAACGCGGCGGTAGCCATGCCGCTTCTTTAAGGTGGTACTCGGCCACCGCGGTCTAACCACCTTAGACACTGATTTTCGGTTCAACCATCTTGAGTTTGATCGTAGAATCATAGAGTATCGCTCCTGTATCGCAGCATAGAATTTTCTGGAAATGTGAAGGTGATGATGATGGTGACTATTAAGCTATTCTATTACACAAGCGCCGCAGATGTTCAGAAATCCATATGTCCCTTTTGTGGCCCATTTCAGTATAATATACGACCAGCTAATTCATTTTATTGCGATTTTTGGTCACTTTCATTTTGTTTTTTGGTTAGTATACCTAACGATCAACCGAGAAACCCTAAGAAAAAGAAAGTTTTGGGAAGTTACCTGTAATTACTTCGCGGATCAAAATAATTTCAAATTACGCATTATCAGCAACCAAATCTCTCGTTGACTAAAGCCATGAGCTTATCAAGGGTCACTAAAGATATCGTTTAACGCTGAAAATCAACACCCGTTGATGGAGCTTTCAAAGATGAAGGCGCTCGCAAACTCGATCGAAAATTTGTGATAACACTTCGTAACGAAGCCTTCAGCGCAGAAACAATTAACTACTGGTGCAATTAGTTTAAGTGCGAAAATTGAAAGGTTGAAAGAATAGGAAATGGCTACATCACAAGAATTCCAATGGATTCGCGAGTTACTGTGATTATAAGAGCTTGGGCAGATGCGGACAATGCTGTCTCTGTCTGCGAAGTAAGGGATTCCTTAACGTAAATGTAAAAAAAAACGAACATAACTAAAACTGAATTTAGGACAAACGAAAACAGATGTGATGTAGTCTAGAGATGATTTGTACGACTATTACCAAAAAACCCACATGAATCATACTATAGACGGTACATGGTTTAGTCCACTTACTTCGCCCATCAGAAGAGGATCATGTAACAGAATGGAGTCCAACAGGGGAGCAAGCGACTTAGATGGCCACTCATCTGACGAGGTAAATTATCGCCTAATTTGTTGTTACATGCGTATGATGTTTGTATCCTTATTCCCCGCTGCAGTTTAAAGTTCCGTGTGTTCTTGAAGTGCAAACTCTTCAAACATTATTTTCGGTTTTTCATCACCAAGATGCAATTGTACTTTCTGGTGCCAGAAACCAAAACTTATTTTTCGCAGGTTACAGTGCCAATTGAAAGAATGTTTTAGGGATCTTGTTAGTGGATTAGCAAGGTCATTCTGTCATTTATCACAACAAAAACGAGACCGAATTGTTGGACAGCAAAATTGCGCTTATTGTCTAATAAGGCTTGTCGAGAAAACCAACAATATACTTGGTGTAAGGTCAGTGCCATCGTTGAAGGCGACAGGTTAGTGTATGTTGGAGGCACAGCACACAATTAAAAATATTGAGCGATGAGAATATGAACACATTGTGATCATATTCTTAGGTGCCTGAAACCATGAGGATGTTGCTATGGAAGGATATGATATTTCGTTCGCGTTCGAACCAAAGTTTCAGTAAATGTAAGCAAGTACCACAAAGTATCCGTTTAAATACATAAAAATTAAGTAGTTGCTTTGAACCCAATTTACTCGTATGATTCTAGCTTTGTAGACAGTTGTTCTTTTTTGACAGCCATATGTTAGCTTTTTTGTACATCGTTCTGAGCTCGTAGAACTCTTATAGAATTCAATGATCTGCTACCACACCACTCAAGCTATACTTATCAAACATCCTTGAACTGTCATTCCAGAAATGTGTTATATGTTCGATAGAAGAATGAATCCAATTAACGGCGATTCACATAGAAATAGTTTCAACACATAGAAAGATGTACAATGCCTTATTATTATTATTATCCCCCACCGATTGTCGTTTAATCACAAAGCGGTTTTGATTTAAAAGCTGCGCCAGTTTCTGCGCAAGGGGCGAGCTTAACCCAAGATAAAGTGAGGAATATAGATAATTTGAATAAAAAAAGTCTTGCACTTTAGAAGAGCCTTGGGACTGCACCCGACAAACAATGACAAGTTCTCTCTATCCCCTAGCGGCAACGCCACAGTTTCGCCGCGGACCTCTGCCGCCGTTTTAGTCTATCAGCACTCTAGGTAGGTTATGAGAGTAAAAAATTTGCGTACTTTATTCCAAATTACATCAAATGGGAGCCATGACAGAAAACCTGAAAAAAACTTAAGCGTCTTAGCAAATATGAAGCGACGCATTATACAGTGCCCAATTTTTAGCATCGTCTCTGTCGTCGTATAGAAGCTCCATGGACCTGATGAAAACTGTACTAGATGTTTTGATTTCATATCTGTATCACGTTTCTCGCTGCCCACAAGTTCAATCGCTAGGCAGCCTGGCTTGATTAGCAGTAACATGACGCATAACGTTTAATGCAGTCAACGGGAGAACCTTAATGATCCTGTGAACCCTAAGGTCGACAATTTCGGGAATTGGTCGACCTATGACATTAGTTTCAGCCAAAAGCTGCCATATCTATGGTACAGGACAGCATATAAAGCCCCCCTATTGTCTTACTGATTCTAGCGTCACAGAATTTCTAAATAAAACAAAACCCTTTCCGAAAGACCTCCTTCCAACACGTCATAACTTCATAACGAAATCTGAAGTACATGTCACATGGTCTACGTTCGTAGCGAGTTCGGCAAAGCTCTTCGACGACTATTTTGTCTGCACACATGGTCCAATGACGAGCGCAGTAAACTCAGAAAGAACGGTATGCAACTGCTTGAGCAGTGCTGTTAAGATATCTTTGTGATCCCGATCAAACACAACGATTCCTTTTTAGTGAAGCACATCGGACCTATACTTAGCTGGTGTGATCGTAGGCTGCACGCGTCTCTTCATGTCTAACTGTCGTCTGAATCCGTCCTACCATTATTATCACACAATTAAAGGGAATATTATAAAAACATTGAATCTGACAGTTTAAACAATTTGTTTCGGTACACGATAACTGTAGAGATGAAAACCTGCACATCGACGCTGCATACGGCGAAACAGCCTTGAATGCAGCCTAATCGTCGAGTCTCAACAATAGCTTCGACCTATTTTATTGAACTTCATTGAATGAAAGAACCAAATCAAAAAAGCTTACTCAGTTCCATGTTCCGCGAGACTTTACATATAGATGAGTCTTATACAATGTCAATCGATTTTTTTTGTTGAAGTCATTGAAGCAAGTTTTTTGTTCAGAATTATTCAAGCTTGGCTACAAATGTGCGTTATTATCATTATTTTATACAGCTAAACGACAAATTTTTGGTCGTGTATTATTTAAGGCGAATTTTCTCATCCATTAAGTCCACTGCATTAATTTATGTGTGACTGTACATTGTTTAAACAATAGCCATAATGTGCTGGCTATTTTAGCCGCCTTAGGTCACTTCAACAAATAATAAGTAGCGTCCTAGTGACAACAATAACTAAGAGGCATTATAGTTAATCTGTTTTTGCTATGTAGGCAAAATACGATTTCTTCATCGCCGAATAAATTCAAACTATTTTGGATTGATTTGAATAAATTGTTCAAGGAGGTACTTTCCTTACAATCATCCAAAATCGATAATAAGTTAGAGCAATAAGTATAATAATTAGCAATCTAAGTTCACTTATAGTGCTTATTATTAATCATATATATTATTTATATTACCATAAATATATTATACATATTTATGTAAATATATATATTACCAGACTCCTATATTCCTTTACCGATGTGGGTTAAGTGGGTACCACTAACCTAACGAATGTATAAGCGACCGTTTTTGGTGATGGGTAACTTGAAGTTATCTCAGTTGATTCACTTTATTTCGTTCATTACGCAAACGGGTTTAAGAAAAATCATATAACGTAAACGTTAATACATGCGATGTTACTGGCCTCCCGAGTTCGGAAGAAGAAACACCTGGCATTAATACGTCGGTGCGCGCACTTACACCCTGTGGCATAAACAGACACCCACGAGCGTGCGTACACCCATCTCACCTTGGATCTTTTTCTCCCTAAGCGCTGATCAGCAACAAACGATTGACGTTACGTTCCATTGTTCCATGGTATATAGATCGGCAAAGAACTTCAAAACCATTGTAGTGTCCATGGCATGCATTGAGCTAAACTACTTGTACACAGCACCGACTCACCAATATAAACTCGCGCGAATACACACACACACCATCACTCTAGAGAGCGTACAGCAGCATGGTGATTGCATCCTTTCTTTGCATAGGGGTCTATAAATAAAGAACGACAGCGGAAGAAGAGACGATGATTAAGATGCCTCAGAATCAGCTGGGTAATCTACACACGAATCACAGAACATTTGCGCTACATGCTAAAGAAATTCGACGACTTTTCGTTTACTGAGTTGCTGATTTATATGCTATGACACGTCGACTCCAATACAAGCAATGCTGAATTAACGATAGGCGACGATATGCTACAGAGCTACAGCAATGTTCGATTGAACGCAGTTACAACGGCCATCACCACCAGCATCGATGTTTTCTTCACCATCCTATGATGCACGCACACACGAATCACACTCGACAACAGCCGCTCGCTCTGGGTCGGTGCGTCGCGCATTGCGCTTCAGTCGTTTGCCTACTTGCTTGGCCGCTTGGCTGAATAAACGCGTATGTCCTTACGCGTTGACTTCCACGCTTTCCACAGATACCGGCGTTGTCGCTAATTCGCGCTCGTGCACACACAGCACACAGGGAGATGGTCCCACTGCAAGGGCGAGGCCACAGATCTGTACCGTTGGCTCGTATAGTTCAACGGAACGTTCGTGTAACATCTAATGTGCTACCGCAGCAGCCACAATAGGTTCAAACCGTTGGCCGCACCGTTGTTGAAGCAGTGCAGCCATGAACACCCAGGTTCGTCTTTTTCAGACTAAAAAGCGATCAAGTTCACCGGCTATCAGCCCATCTGAGGGGCTCCCATTCGTAGCGGCGGGGGGGGGGGGAGGACGGGACGAAATTATAAAAAGAACAGTACATTGGCGGTGCACCGACATCTGGCGACTGAAAGACCGACAGTGATAGCAAAGGCATTTGCCATAATTTCCTCGGAAAACCATCGAGTTGAAGTATCTTTTCTCTTATATATTTCAACAAGTACAGCCTGCTGCTATGATGTCCAATCAACTCAGCACTCATGAAGATCCACACTGGCGTAGCCATCTCAGAGTAAAACTCAGCGGCTATTAATACAGTGTAGAATAATGGTGCAGGCTTTTCATATGTACCTGATATTCTTTGTCATGCTGCAATTGCTGTTTTTTTTTTTGTTTGCTGGGTTGTTTTCTCGCGCGATCTCTTTCCGTCACTGCTTCATGAAAGTGCCGTCCATCGTTCTGACCTGGACACGACGATAAAAGTGCCCTACGCCACTCGTGCTGCTACTGCGGCGTCAGCGTGATGCTCTCGATTAGAGGACGCGCGAGAAAAAGGAAAATCTCTGGGCCTCTGCCACTGTGGGTCCGAATCTTTTGGGTTCGCCGTTGCTGTCGTGCACTTGTATTGGACCCAGTGCCACTGACACAAGGTATATGCATAGACGTAGTTGGTCGAGATGAACCCAGCGCGTTTCGGCGTTTATAAGGTCTTGCCTACACAGTTCTGCTGCTGCTGCTACTGCCATTACTACTGTAATGTGACTCTCTGCAGGCTAGGTTTGTTGAAAAGCAACCGACAACTGATTGTCAACCGCGGAACGATTCCGAAGTCTATGCGTGAGCGGAAGACTGAATGAGCTTCAATGTTTCCGTATAATGAGCTTGTTATTTCATTATCGATTGAGCGGACGTGTGTGCAGTTGGATGAAACAGAAATATGAATGACATAAAAGAGCGACGAAAGTGGCCCTCAACACATTTCGTTTACTTTATGACATAATGTTAATGGAGAACCTTACGATGCAGGCTAATACAGTGAGAAAATTTCAAAATTGACGTGCGATAAACCTTGATGACAAAATGAAACCTTGATAACTCAGATCTTTTGCGAGATGCCAGGTTCCTCAAGAGAAACGTATGCGATAAGTTGTGCTGGCGAACAAGTTAAAATAACAGAAAATTTTAGGACGTTGATATTTATCTGAATGACTTAAATGAACTATACTTATTGCAGTTAACTAATGGTTTTGTGTAGATTGTGGCGCACCAGTAATGATTCAGATATTCGGTTCTTGTTTTTTATGTCGATGTCAATTTTATAGTAAAATGTTTACTTTGGAATCTTGATTTATAGGACACTTTTTTTAAAAATTTTTTACTTTGATTTTTAGGACACAATATAGTCAAAATACAAAATATTTCGTTTGTGTTAGCAAGAGTATTTTGTTTTTGCTAGTAAACAGTTAATTTCCCAAGCGGACAGCACCAGGCATTCTATTAGCGAAGCTCTATGTAATCCAAGCCTTCGTTCCGTTACGTTTGCAGGGGAAAATTCCCGTAGTATATTCGGCCCAATTAGGCTTCCGAACATCTTATGCAAGGAATCAAGCTGAATTTCTTTAAAATAGAGATTCCTTTAAAAACAAATATTTTACACTATTTTTTAAGTGGCTCAAAAACAACCAATAAGCAATAACGTGCGTATTACTAGCTTGGGATGCCCAGTGCAGAGAGGTGGTTGCTGTTGCAGACTTAATGGTTGTTATAGTCATTTTTCTTCAAGGCGCCAGAAATGGAAACGGTATGTTTGTGAGGCAGCAAACTCTAACCAGATCTGAAATAAGTACAAGAATCACGCAAAAATCCTCGTTCCTGATTACACGCGTCCTTCAATTTCGTTCAGAAAATGGCTCATCTGTCAACCAGATAAATACAACTTTTATTTAATGTGATCGACCGACCGCCATTTCCCAAATCGTGACATGGCATCATGAAAAAAAACCTTATTTGCGAAATACTTGTCAAGGGATACGCGGCTTTCTTCGAACTTATTTCGAAACGTTTTAACCCTGTTCTCTCAAGATGCAACATGCGGTTTTCGTCTTATATGGAGTGAATTTGTGAGGTGGATGTAAATACATTTACGATATAGAATACGTAGTAGCCACATCAAGAAAAGGTTCATTCTATCTTCACAATATAACTCACTCCCAAAAAACTTAAAGCTTGAATTTCCTTTGTTTAACCCCAAGATACGTTCCACGGTATTATGTATGCCATATGACTTGATTAAGTCATATGACTCCTCTTACAACAACAACTTTAACCGAGTAGGATTATTAAGGCTCTGACGTTCATCGGATTTCTTGTACCGTCTGATGCAGCTCGTGTCGGCCGTAACACTCTTCATTGGAGATTTTCTACAAAAATACAATTACATACGAATTCTTGCAAAAAGGTGCATAATACCAACCGAATTGAATACTAACATACCAAAATATTATATTATAATGAAATCTGTATTCACTGCAAATATTTACTTACAAGAAAGTGCCATCCATTCATGTTGTCTTATAAACTGATAATTTTGCGTGACTATAGGAAAACGTTGTAACCATCGCAACATCATCATAATAACGTTTCACACGCGTATTCTAGTTCGAAATTGATTCTAAAAAATGGGCGTTACTTAAATTGTTAGTGGTTGCCAAAATAACAGATTCTTACCACATGTTTTCAGCAGATAGCAAAAAGGTTAGCGAGTTGGTTCTCGTAAGAAGAAACTATTACCATAGAGCAAAGAGCGCTCATTTTGTTAATCAATGGCACTTTAGACTCACAATGATTTGCTGAATTAAACTGATTGAGACTGACAGATTTGCTGAGCGCATAGATCAACGCATAGAGGACAACAAACTCAATAAATCAGAGCTGTATACACTGAACACTGCGAGCCAAGTAGGTTGAAAAGTTTAGCAAATATATTACATGTAAGATTCTGTTTGTCATATGGCCAAAAAGATTTTCTTGACTTCTAACAATTTTGTTGTAAGCGGCAATTTTGTCTGAAACTTGGCCAAAGAATGATACAAACAGGAGAATCACGAACAAAATCAATCAGTGTAGGACGGTTCCTGGGAGACTTGTACATCCAAGTTACCCTCCAAAAATCTAAAACTATACGTAAACCTTAACCGGTTTACTTATTTCCTCTTTGTAGCTAGCCTAAACACAGCACGCTGTACCACTGTGCCTGTTTTGTTTACTTCAGAGGATAAATGGCAATGTATAAAAAATCGTATCCGGTCGAATTCTTCTATTTTCGAAGTCTAGACAATGTTGAGTTGGAGTGCGGAAATGAATCGATCTGTAATTTTCCGCGTCTAAGAAATTTACACAGTGGCTTGTGAAACTTCTGGAGCTGTTTAACACAGACATGATCGACGGTACAATCTAACTTCGTCTATTATTCTCTTTACGGCTACATGAGAAATTCCGATTGTTAGCGAAATATTATTCCAGAGGTTATTTCCACAGAATAGAACTGTAGATTTTAAGTTTAAATATTTAGAACTGAAAAAATATTTAGAATTGAAAAATATGTTTAACTAAATATACCTTTCCCCTCAAGTATGCATAAAGCAAAAACAACGCTCTAATTGAAAGGAAATTTATTGTTTTATAATATTATATTTAAAATGTATACATTGCGATTCTTCTCTTCCAGTAAGGTCTGTTCCGTTAGAGCCAGAAGAGGCTGGAAAAGAAAGCACAAATCGTTATAACTTCACTCAGTACTTCACGATTCACAAAGCCATTACACGCTCTTTTTGAATAAGAGTCTGTATAGTCAACTAGTAACTATAAAATACTGGGTACACTAAATAAGCTTCGTACTAACAAATTCGATTTTTAAAATGAAATGAGCTTTAAATCAGTTCTAGGACAAGAAAATGTCTGACACTTTTGCTAATCTGATTTAAGAACGTCGGCTTGGCAAAGCATTACAGAGTACGTGATTTTCGCCCGTATTATAACTAGATGTATAATACTGCGACGTGCAAAGGTCAAGAAAATAATAATTACTTACCGAAAGAAAAAGGTGTTTTTGTAACTTGTATCATATGTGATGCTTCTAATATCGTTTATCCAATAATAAACAACTTAGCTTTCACACAGAATTACTAAAAATACTCTATAAGGGAGTGCTTACTTGTACCTTTTTCCTTTACTCTAAAGAGGTAGGTATATTTTGCGTTTGTACCCAAACATTTTCGCTTAGGTTACGAGCTGTAACTTCGTATATACAAAAATTAAAGATTATAACATTATTGTTAAACCTGCCTTCCTAGGCTGAGCTCTGGCATGCCGGGTTCGGTCCCCTTCTGAAAACCTGCAATAGACATCAAATGACAAAAGTCTATTATATTTTCGTTAGCGTAAAATTGCGTTAATGGTTTAATAAAGTAAAATTGGTTTACCAAGTTTATTAAAGGGAATAGCTCAAATGACACCGTCATTGCTAACACGTCTAAGAATCAAAACACATTCTTAGCTTAAGAGCTCAAATGAAAAAAAAAGCTAGTAGTTTAAAATGTGTGTTTTCTCCTTGCAATAATGGGTTTTAATGAACGTACGGGTGACTATGCTGTTTTGCCTTCTAGAAAGCGGTTTGGATAGAAGACTAGTCCATTAACGCTCTCATCTCGACAGGCGCGATTACACCCCTCCACCTGCAGCAGTCGTTCAAGTGCTAGCACAGCCGATGTCTTCAAACAAGTGGCCAGCTCTTCTGCGCTAAGGCTACCCGCTTCTTCTATTAAAGATACAATTTTATCCTTCCATGCCGACTCATCTAAACTTGATAACTGCACTACCCGTAAACCTGACGTGAATGTAGTTAGTTTAATTGGGTGCTTGATGCGTTCTAAAGCCGCTAACATATCCTCTGGCGAAAGCAGTCGGAGGCCCCGCGCCCGATTAATACGACAATACGCTTCCGTAAGAGAGATCATTCCAGATGAGCTTTCGCAGACCGGAAGAAGTACACAAATGATCTCTTGTTGTAACTGATTATCACCGGAGTACCCTACTTGACTTCCAAATTCAGTGAGACCAATGGAAAGTAGCTGACTACGAAATTGTACAGTTTCATCGTCGGTGAGTCCTTTGTCTTTTGATTTTACCATAAGCTTCTGCGAAAGTTCGACCATGTCTTTTGCTGAGGCCATCAAATTTGATAAATCTTCAAATGCTGCTGAAATATACAGATCCGTTTGTTCGGCCCTAGTTTGAATTTTCTTCTGTATTCCACCGATACCAATTCCATGTCCCTTACGAGCAACTCCGTACAGCCATTCCTTAGCACAAAGAGCAGCCTCCAATCTCTGTAAAAAATCCTTGCATCCGCCACCTCGAAACGAAAGTCGGAATGTCAGCTCAGAGCTGACCGCAACGATAATTTTCTCACTTTTCGTCCATGTGCCAGCATCGAATGAAGTGCTCAATATTTTATCTAGATTCATCGAAAAAACCTGCGGACCAATCCAAAGCAGGCGTTGGTTTGTCAACTTCAAAAGGCCCCTTCCATGAACGAGGTGCTTTTCCTCGTACAGTGCAACCAAGTCTGCGGCAGTTACTACTCGTTCACCTGGCAACATTGCATCTGCGCTGTTCACCCAATACTCTGAGAACGCCATCGTTTTGCTGAGCGCTTAACACTGCCTAATCACGAACCCACAAACATCAATTGAGGAAGTGATAAGCTCCGATGTACACAACCGCTTCTATATTACTCAATCACACCACATCACTATTCACAAATTATAAATCGAATCATTTCTTATTGAATTTGATCGTTCACGATGCACCAGCAGGATTAGCTGGGTATCAATCAAAGCATCGTCATAGAACCAAAACAAACGTCAACTCCGCGGAAGCAAATCGACGGAACCGCGATGCTTAAATGAGATTCTTGCTTGCGCACTTACATGCAGAATATGCTCGAAGGGCATACTTGCTGTGGCTGCCGATTCAAGTTCTGCGCAAGTCATTTGAAATATTTCATCGAACTAAGACTAAAGTTGTTGCTGTTAGTAGCACCCGCCGGCTGGAAAGAGAGCCAGCACATAGGCAAAATGTTGTCTTTATTAGATTCAACTTACCGAGGTAGACGACTGTTGGTATGAAACCCCAATGGAAAGCGACTTTCCCAATCTCAGTCACGACTAGGAGGGCAGATCTTATCGGGCCATTCTTTGGTTTTCTATAAACTTTGTCCATCGTGACGTCTGGGTATGCCTTTGCGACAACCAGCCTGAAGACGTTGAAACAATAAGAACTAACTGACCTTTCGGATCAGTGCGAAGTGGCAGCTACTGAATGATGATCATGGTCACTATCTGCTCGAGTTTGTATGGAATGAGGGCGGTCAACAATCAATGACCTAGCTTCAACAAGATCGTATTGAATGATGTCTAAAAGAAAGATTTTCCCATATTTCTCGCTTAGTATCTCAAAGTTGTGTACATTTAAGTAAGCAACACATATGTTATGTACCTTATTATACAATTAAAGCAATTTGAATGAACAAAGAAAGCTATCGTTATGTACAGATTTCTTAGTTTACACAAGTTAACAGAGACGAGTAAATAGTTGATTTCTAGTTAAACGCAAATAGTTATATAGTGCTGTGTACGTAATAATTCTTTTTCTCCTGTTGGGTATAGATAATATTTAGATTCGATTTCAAAGAAGTAAAGACTCATTGACAAATATATCTTTGGGGCACATGTTAACCAAAACTACATTGACAGATATGCCCTCTATCGGTTCTGTTAAACAAATTTACATAGCAGTTGCAAGCAGTCTATTTTCGTTCAGTGCTCTTTCACTACGGACAGCGTCAAATCGGCTTCGCAACAACAATAACAGTTATGAAAAATAGTCAGAGATTAGACTAGCGAGTTATGTTCATATGATTTGTTTGTCAAATGATTTGGGAAATATCCTTTCTTCACTCTTGGCCGAATGAGAACCGTCGTCAAATCAAGCTAGACCCGCTGCTCGCAATAAAAGGCCAACATATTCTTCAAATCCTACTAACAGCGTTGTCTTAATTTCCTAATACGCCTCCAAGGAGATTTCCCAGCCCGAACATGGAAAAAAGTCTTTTAACCACCCCTAGGACACCTTGTATTATATTGTCACCACGAAGAAATCCCCCAAGCAGACCACCGAATAAACTGCCGTTACCTACAATGACAAAAAAATTGTTGTTTTTTCTGTTGTTAGAAGACATTTTGCTAAATTGCGTCTAGAAAGTGATCTGCCCTAAACCAAATCACTTTCTAAACATAGACACAAATATGAACAAATTATTATTATTATTATGGACAAATATGAACGCATTAGGTCTATCGCAGTACGACAAGTTACTAGTAGCATTTCGATACTATTAAAATAATTTATTAACGTACGTCTTACTTTTCCTTACTAACATAAAATGTATGAGCACTATTCGTATGCATATCGTATTAATAAATACGGGACACACACAAATAAATCGAGTATTTAGAAACATTGTTCAAACCTATCGGGGGTTACTAAGCTCCGACCCATTGAAATGTTCACGATTTCTTCCTTGAGTCAAACAGAAAGGGCAGTTTCCCTGAGAAGTTCTATTGAATTCAACTATTTCGAGTGAGGCTTTGTGACATATACGAGATTTCATTTCTGCCGTCTAGCCGTATCTACTCACCGGACGTATGGGCCGGTCGCGAAGCGTTACTCATAGGATGTAGTCTCGAACGCATCGCATTTATAGTCATATCGAAAGATCTTTATCTGAAACGATAGTATTGCAAAATCTCAAAAGCATGAGTAGCATTATCTGTCTCGGCCCATGGTTTAAATATAATCTTACATATGCAAAAAAGTTGCCGGACTTCTATATAGTTGTTTATATCTGCCGTTGGTATTGTCTACCGAGCAAACGGTATCGCTAACAAATGAGCATGTTATGAATCGGTCCAATGATATATTCGAATTAATTGATATCGTACATAAGTATAGTATATGATATTCCAGCAATTGGAGAACTTGCAACGATTCATCAATTGGAACACGTCGAAAAAAATTAATAACCTCAAAAATTAACTAATCATCTTGATATAATTAACTAGGGTGCTCTATTTAGATACGATAAATAGGCGTTATTCATAGGGCTTTGTCTGATATTTAGAGGTTGAAGGTTTATCTAGTTATTGACCGGCCAATAGGCTCCATCTAATCACGACCCATATAGTATGAAGTACATGGTATTAGTAGAAGAAATCACAGATAAGTACGCCACCCGAAATGCAAACTCTAGAATAAATCCATGATATACTCAACCACAGTCTTTACAACAGAGCCTTATGTGCCGTTCCAGCTCTACCTCCGGAACCATTAGACGACACCTTATCCCGGCTCCGTAGTATGTCCTTTTTGATAAGTTATCATACACTTACTTTGAAGAATTAGCTTCTTCCTAGTGCTGCCGTAATTAGCCTTCTTCTGAATAATCAACCTTGTTATTGCCGCAATGCACTTTTGACACTGGCTACTTTGCATCAATGGAAGAGATAACTGGTTGGCTTTTTGAAATGCTCGGTAAGATGGATTTGCCACGTGGTTAGTGGCCGTCCTCGAGTTGCGTTTTAAGAGTGCAATTGGTTTCAATTATATTTGTAATCATCCAATTAGACGACACTCGAGGTAAATATTTGAGCTTCGGCGAAAAATGGGCCATGTAAATATCAGCTAGAATCAATAATCCCTGAAAACGGGTTGGTGCTATATGTTAACAGGGCAAAAAAACGGAGGACACGTATTAAACAGTAGTTTTTTTAATCTACACTTGAGAAAAGAGATGTGAAATTGATATGTTGCTTAGCTACATTCGACAGCACCGGCAAAATTTACTGTCCGCCTTATCTACGCCCAGTTTAGCCTGGGCATTAACAGACATTTCATTTTGTGCTGGGAAGCCGAATTTCTCCACCGCTTCGTCTCTGGGTAGGACTTTGATTCAGTGGCGACGCAATGAACTCGACCTTTGGCCGACAGACTGAAAGTTGAAAACCCAACTGATCATAACGGTAGAACAAGCTGAAATTACTAACTATTATCACCGTTTCTCTAACAAATCATACTCGTCGTGTCCTCTATGTATGCATAATACATAGTATATATTATAGTGATCATTTTAACTCTGTAACACGTCCTCTAAATCACTCTCAAATATGGAGTGGTACGCTGTGCTTCTACCAGAGAAGTCAGATAGCGTTCAGAGAAATGCGTCTGTGAACTACTACTCTACTGTATTACGCGGTTTCAACTTGGCGTGAAAATGCACTTTTTTATTCTGCTGTGTATAATAATCATAGTGAAATGTTTATTTTGTTTCAGATTTTTTTTAGTTAAGTTGAGGTATTTTCGTGGGATACTAATAGGATAATCTAGCAAGAAACGCGCTAATATAATTTTTATTTGGTCCAAATCGGTAAGTTGTAACGTAATTCATAGACATAAGCATACTTAGCTTTAACATTGCTACTTATAGCTAGCTGTTCTCGATGTCGATCTCAATTAATAATGTGCTTCAGACATAAACTGTTAAAATTTAATGACTGAAGCATGGCGATTCAAATTAAAGTACATTTAAATGTATAAAGTTACTAAACAAGTAAAATGAGGAGGAATGGCCGTATGGATGAAATAATTTCTTTATCACAGCAAAGAATCGAATTGCTGAGACTTTTTTTTTCTCGTTTTATAGATTTCGAAATTATTCACGCTTTAAGAAAATTCAAAATATTATTTGAAGGTGCTACATATTTTCAATTAGTTCAATGGATGGCAACAGTCAAACATACAACCCATTGACATAAAAACTGACATTTAAAGCTGCGAGAACCGAAATCGACAAACAGGTCTAAAGCGTTAATAGTTTCAAAGATTGAATCAGAAAGATGCAAGCTTGTTCTATTTAGTGGTTGTGGCCTCGAACTAAAGGTTCAACTTACAATTCGATTTGTGTTCGTAGTAAAAATAACGGCAGCGTTGCTCGGTGGAGTAGCTATGTTGGCGAAACGCTTCAGTTGCGACTTTTATGGGGAGAAGATTTTTCTAAGGGACGCAAGGAGGCTGTGTGCTCGACTATAGATGTTTCATGTATAATTCTAAATAGGGTGATGTGTATTTACATATAAAACATATAGCTGTATCATATAATGGTAGTAAAAGTTCAATTTGACTCGTGCTAGTGTATAGCTATTTGATCCTTTACAGATTTTTCCTGCATACAGAACAAATTTAATTATGTGCCCCTTTTTCGGTCTCGGTCAAACTAGTTTTCAACTAGGTTTTTCTCGTACAAAAACATGAAATTTCAGAACATAACATGGTGAACAGTTGGTTTAAAGGTAGGCAGAGATATATAGTAAAGATAAGAGTGGGTCCGATAACCGAGATTAATGCTCGACCTATTTCATTTGCTGAAAAAGTGTCTTGCCTTGTTCCGTAGATCTATGCTTGTTTGTCCACTTAACTCTGTAAATTATTGTCAATCCTTATCGGTTGCGTTGCCGCGGCTATTCAGTGTTTACTGGAATTTTTTAGCGTGAAAAGTCACAACATCGTTCCGAATTTCTTCATTGCCATGTGCCATGGTAACGAGTTGTTTCTGAACGAAAAATCTCTGTTAAGTGCATGTGCCTGCCTCTGATCTAACCCATCACTGAACTGCTCTACTTCGCCGAAATTGTGCTGACGCGTTAAAACGCTTGTTCGTTACGAGACGCGTTTGCGGCACACAGGAAGACCACACCAGCATAGTTCAATAGTTGCTACCGGACGGCTCTTTGCAAGAAGCTAAATGTAAACGAGGATTTCCGACGCTGACAAAAAGGTAAAGCTGGACAAAAGGACAAACGAACTCATGCTGAAGGAGTAGACGTCCTGTCTAACCAATTTAGACTGATAGGAATCGAGGCTCGCCTCACGCCGCGTACAAGTGAAGGAATGACGGCTTGGCAATGACTTGAACTCAATTCGGCCGAACCGTATTGAGTAACAGTAGCTGTATTTAAATCGCAGTGGTTTATGATTGTAAGTCAGTCAGTCAGTCAGTCAGTCAGCCAGCCAGCCAGCCAGCCAGCCAATCGAACCAAGGTTGTTTATCAGGTGAACATGCGCATGCAGGAACGGTGGACGCAAGAAAGTCGATTTTTCTGCGTTATTTATATAACGTGTTGCTGTGAAGCGTTTTTCATAATTGTTAAATTATGGGGCTATGTGAAACAATGAAGGGGATAGCTGCATAATCGGTTCTGTCTTCTATGAATTGCTCGATCAATATGGATTGAAAGTGAGGTGCTATCGATAGATTATGGGTAAGAATAATCTTTCAAGAGAATGATCCGTCTGAAGTAATGGCCACCAAAGGTTTAACAGCGGTATTTTAACAGTTTCGACATTTTTAATAGCAGAAAAAGCTATGTTTGTTTCTCGGAAGAACTGCCAGTTTAACCATTCTATTAAATATTCAGTCTGTGCTAGCGTAAATATTATTATTTTTTTTTGCAGTAGAATGCAATGAAGACATCTTTAGTGTTTAACCTGCATAATAAATATGGGGTGTCACTGCGTTAATTTCACTACCTAGCGCAATACGTTCACCAATCTATTTTGATAACGCAAACGCCCACATCGACATTAGACGTTTACAGAAAAAATATTGAAGTTATGTCAAAGCGAATGCTATTTACGCAACTGTATTTACAGAATCTGACCGACCAGAATGCTTTTGAGTGTGTTGAGAGAGCCCTAGACCTCTTATTGCCATGCTAGCTCTACTGTAGCATTAAAATAATCTGCTGTGAGTATTTCAGAATATTATTTAGATGATCAGTGACGATGATTAATGACCGCTGGAAAATAAATGGCAAAAAAAAATTTCTTACAGCAGGAGGGCTGTGAAGCCATTGGTTGCCGCCCTGTATCACTATCGTCTGATCGACATTATTATAGTTCGATTGCATGGGTTTCTTCGATGAGAAACTGGTCTAGCCGTAGTGAAAAAGACAGAAAGAAGTAAAACAGCCTGATCTTCGTGTAGGACGATGTCGATATGCGCCAGAGGAACTGAAATGGCAACGTCATGAGGGTTATCAAGCAAATAATCGATATCGCTTTTCCTTACCTACAACTGGTCAACAACAGAACAGGAGATGAACGCCTTCGAAGCTGCCCTCGGTTAGCGGCATTCACAGCGTCGGACTCTTACTTGATTGGCGTTTTTGCATGTGTTTTTTTTTTTTAGAAAAACAGCGATGATCACGAACGAGACGCTCTATGTGCTGGATATCGGTTAATAGTGTGACAATTAGATTCGATAGAATAATATTAATGATGGTTAACTCACAGTCAATTGAACTCTTATCAGATCCCAATATTTGCAATAAGGTTATTATTAAGTGCTTCAAATCCTCTTTGTTGATATCTCGTACAACGTTAAAGATAATGTTATCGTTTGTTCTCAATGTATTGTTTACAGTTTGTGTGGTTACATCATTTCTGTAGGAGTTAAAAAAGGAAGAAGGTTCTTCGGCGATGACGGGAGCGGTAACGTGGCCTCTTGCCATGGGGGAGTTTGAAGCGGCGTATCGTCAAAAAGAAGGTCCCCTTGTCGGTAAGTGGCACCTACTCAAATGATAAATTTACTTAGAATAAGTTTGGAAGATACAATAATATATATATATATATATATATTATTGTATCTTCCAAATATATATATATATATAGCTTTGAATACATACATGCACATTTCTAATAAACGAAAACTCGTGCAAATATAACAAACATTCACGTCCTAAAGTTCATTGTCGAAAGTTAAAATATAGCTTTTTCCCGAACCTTGACATAATCTTACGAAAGTTATGCGGTATAACTAACCTTACTGGTTCATCATAAGGCAATTTCATAACAAGGCAAATCTACTGGCGGTACGACTTTTGTATTTGTAGTATTTATACATAGTTGTCCCTATGGCATCCTTATACCGCATCTAAGTGCAGCTTCTTGGATCCTAATGAATTGGACAACGCACTGCCGTCGCTCATAGTGCCACTGTGATTATTATTATAGGTTTAGTACCGCCAAGCATCGTTCGACCTAGGGACGGTAACTTCTAGCTTTAATTCTTCGAACAGCACGTCGGATCGACGATGATCTAGCACGTATTAGTAATTTACGCAATATGAAACGAATCAGACGCGGTAAGTGGGATTGAACAACAACAGGGACGATTCTAACATGTACAAATTACTATAAACTTAATCCAATGCTTTTTGTTGTCTGTGTACATCTCTAACGAAAGATAAATTGATAGCGACAGTTGATTTTCTATTGAAAGCTCTTTCTCTATTTCTATCTGATACGATAATTAGTTGTAACATGTTGTTACAAACTATTCTCCGAGTAAGTTTTCGCTAGTTCTTACTTAATTTCTTGTTCCCTGATCCAGGATAGACCTTATAACAACACTTAAGTAACCTTGCGAAAGGTTGGCGAACAGCATTGGTGCACCGTGCGTGAGGTTGTCTATGATTCAATGGTATGCTGTAATATTTTTCTGTGTTTTTAGAAATGCTAACGGCGTGTATACGTTTGTATACGAACTGCCCCGAAGGTTGGGGTGCACAACTGTACGCACGTATGCTCGTCAATTGACGACTTTAGCCTTCTCTTTGAGTGAGGAGGTCTGAGAGAGAGTTCATTGTCTTTACGCTAAGGCGCAAGATCATGCTGAGGGCTAGTGAGTTCAGTATCGACGCGGTGGCGGCGACGTTGTTCCTTTAGTTCTCCAACCGCACTTTGAAACCACAGAAGCTGAACTCATTAAGATTGACTTCAAATGAACGCGGATCGATAGGAGAGATTTAGAAGCCGCCGCAGCAGCTAGGCTTCTTGCGTTGGCAGCAGTGCCATAACGTACGAGATTTTGATACGTTTAAAAAATGATTCAATCCATCTTGTCGATCCATAACACGCTGCAGTGTATCGTGTTTTAATAACAATGTTTTACGAAACCAGGCTTGCTGGGAATTAAACAGCACCAATAATAGACTTTTGATGGTTATATCAAGGACAAGATGATAATCATACTTGACGTTATTCTTGTCCTTGCGGCCGGTACTGAACCTGTAACGGCAACGGGCCGCTGTGCTAAGGGGCAAATTGATTGCTTGGGTATCTTCAAAACGTGCATCTACCCAAGTGATGTGTGCGATAAGCATAAAGACTGCCGCTCGCTTATCGACGAAGAATTCTGCGAGTGTTACTCGGGTCAGTAAACACTTAAAAGAGACACTGTGGCAAAAATGCATATCACACAGTGTGAGTACAAAATTGTCAAGTACTCATTTAAAAAGAGGCTAACTATTGTTTTATTTAATATTATAGCAGTTTGGCAAGCGTTCAGTGTTTTCTTAGAGAACTATTCATTATTAATCATAGATTGAGCGCAGGTGGACCCGATTGTCTTCGTCATTGAAACAGCTCTGGAACTCAATCGTAGGAAGAACCCTCAGTTAATTTGTCGTTTTGTCTTGGATTTTTTGGACCATTCTAAAGCTTTTATCTTGACGTGTGTTTTATGAGCTTTGAAGAGATGGAAAAGTCAAGGGGATTAAATGTAGTGAATACGGAGACTTAGGGTACACAAGTACCCTATAACAAAGCACTACAGGTAACAACGTGTAAACCGATGTATTATTGAGGTGAAGCAGCTACGAAACGTTCTCCATAAGCTCAAGCCGACACGATCACGCAACCTTTTTAGCACTTTTTGAAAAAAGTTTGGTCGCTAATTTTAATCCTGTGGCTTTCTTCAGTTCGGGTTCGCCTTTAAAGGAATGCTAGGTGCTTTTGTCTTCACGACTTCCCGGATGTCCTCATCTTGTTGCCTATGATGACGTGTTACTTTATTTTGAATAAGGTGCGGGTCTTTTGAGACTGTTGCGGGCGGGTCTGTATTTGCTCGAAATTCAGCTCATGGTGCCCATCTCGTCAGTCGCGAGACTGGTAGTACCATTTGAACAATCAGCATCAACTCACAAGCCGTTCTTCCGAAACCTTCTACGTCATTAGCATTGCTTGTGAACATTTTATTTCGTTTGTAACACAAAACACAATTCACGACCCTTCGGAATCCCATTTTTGTTTTCTACAAAATAACTAAACATAGCAATAAGTCACTTACTTCAAAGTAGTTGCAAAATAAAAAACAAAAAGAATACTATATTATCGAATTACTATTATATTATTGTTACTAAACTTCAGTATCAAAAATAAGGGTTTAGGATCTCATGCCCGGTGCTGGTGTTAAACATAGTTTCAAGTGGCACAAAGCGGTACGCGTCGAAACTCGGTTTTGAACTTAGACCATTTTAGCTAACCCTAACTTCAGGCAGACGCGTTGTCACTACATTATCACGGGAACTGAGCCTGCAAATAGCAGACATGTGAGTAAGTGTGGCATCATAAGTGCGGTCACTGATCGGCTATTAGCCAATAAAAATTGGCTTTTTTGCCAGTACATTTTTAATCCAATAGTATACAGACAGTATCTGTCGCTGAACTGAAACAGTTTCAAGCAGCTCTATTTTGAAGAGCTCATTGCAGGTTTGTTCCAAGTCCTGCTTATCTACATCTGCCTATTTGCCACACTTAGGACAAACTTTTCCTGAGATTAATCTCGGCTAAGTTCTAACTGTACAAAGTAAATATCAGGCTTCTTTAGACGTAGATTCAAATATGGTGCCTTTGTTTGCATAATGAGTCTAAAAGAAAATGATAGAATTCGTTCAATTTTTACTTCGTTTCATGTAGACAAGGACTGCGCATCCGATACTGTATGCGTGAACCAGTTTCCGAATTTAGGTAAAAAGTGCGTAGGGCAAATACGATGCCAAAAAGGAACGCGGCAGGTCGGAATACATTGCATAGACATGGACGAATGCGAGGAAGGTACTCACACGTGTTTGGACGATCAGCACTGCAAGAATACATTTGGTGAGGAACTCTATTCCGTAAGGTTTTTTTTTCCTATAAAAACGCTCGTTTTGTCTTGTGTCCTTTTCAAGTTACCTTAGCGTCGTCATAAGCACACGCATATTACAGAAGCACCTTTTTTTTTTTCTAGATATTTCATCACCATTTCGAACATTTCTTGGATAACATTGTATCCCAAATTTGTACAAATAGTATTCTGCACGGCATAATAGTATATCACGGAGGAGTGGCAGTTGTAGTCAAGTAATGTTTTCCTAAAATGTCAAATTACCTGTGTAGCAATCATCATGTGTGGTAAAGTTTGTCTAATTATAATATACGGAGGTCAATAGTATTGAGCAACTCGACCTATCTATTCGTTGAACTTAGGCCAGCAATATGTGTCCAGATTACGATTTGTCAAATGATCGATTGCTTCCATTTAAATTTCCCTATATTTCTATTATGGTTATATAGGACCGATACACCTGCCTTTATACCTGCCGCTTTTTATTCATATAGCTCAAAAAGTCTTCCAAAGGACCATCATCTCTTTTATATGCTATTCGATAAAATGCGATAGGCATAGGCTAGCATATGCCTATACTTTTTCTAGGCTGCTAGCAACGAATCTGCAACGAAATTTAATTATTTCTGATTAAATTATAATCGTAAAAAATAAATAATTATTCGTTTGTGTATCTTTGATCTTTTATGTACATATTAAGCGTTCTGGCAGCTTCTGGATAGCCATGTACCTACCATCTGCGTCGCTCACATATAATTTCTCTGTCTACGACTTTTTAATACGTTTGTCAACAGTTACTTTTTTAGAGCGTGAAAAACCTTGTCATCGCACTGACTCTAAGTACAAAATGAATCAATCAAGAGAACAAGTAAGTTAAAGCCGATATTGGATATTGATGGGGTCAGGCATTGTTATCAAGCAACCGTCCATAAGCTTCTCGAGGAACTCAAGATAGTGGGTTGCATGCAGTGTTGCAAGTCGTTTTACGTCCGAACTTACTCGACAGAGTTGATTTTTTTCTTTAGAATTCTCGTGTTTAGTCTCCCTTCAGTAGATGGCAGAAATTGAGCCACCCCTCGTTTATGACGACCATGTGCTCCAAGCAGATTTTCATTGATTAAAGTTTTACGTGAAATACGCCGCATGCACTTTCAACTAGTTTGGAATCAACTCACAGAGAAATTATTTTTCACTCACTTTCCGCATTTCGGTTATAATTCTGTAATTAGTCACACCTAAAATTCCACTTTTGACCAACTGAGCCTTTATACTCTGCTTTCACGAAAGCCTCTTAGATTGCGGTAATACATTCCTGTGCTTTGAATTCAAATCAGGTAAACTTTAATCTGCTAGTGGCGCGAAGTTCAAAAGTGATTCAGTCTAGAAGTCTGCCAATTCTCTTGTAATATATATATATATATATATATATGTAGTATATAAATTTTACGAATTGCTTGCGTTTATTTGCAGGGTCATACGAGTGTATATGCAAATCTGCCGGTTTCAAATTAAATGAATCCACGCGGGAATGCGACGATATTAACGAGTGTCTCGACGAATCACTTTGCGATCCACCGGGCGTATGCCGCAACACGCGGGGTGGATACAACTGCTCATGCCCGGAACACCATATTCGTGTTCCGAAAGTTCCAAAGCTGCCTGAAAAGGTAAAGTCGGAAGCCTTTACTAGTTACTTCCATCATTCCAGAAAGCAATTTTAGGCTCACGGCCCCACGATGTTATATAGTATTAGAAATATGCGGAGCCCAAACACCAGGAATTCATGGTTTAGAAAGTAAGGATGTCACAACAGCCAATAAATACATCGGTGGTGAAGTCTGACTTGTATGATGACCTAGCATTTTATTTCCTTCAGAAAATATATTTCACTGCTGTATTCTGTTTGTCTGATGATTCTACTAGTTTTCTCCTATTTTAACTAGCTCGTGCTTTTAATTGAATTAAACCATTACCGTGGCACCATTGACCGGTGATACTCTCGAGATTGTTCAACTATCAACAAATGACGTAGGCCTCAATTTTCAGAACATTATAAAGCAATATTATAAAAGAAAAATACTCGAGACGCCAAGCAATGGGAAAACATCAATTATTTGGGAAAGTTCTCGACCGTTTTTAAAAAAGACATCATATTACCCGCATTATGGTATTAAATGAGAGAAATCGATCTCTCCTAAAAATTTAGCTTTGTGTTCAGCATGCGGACTCCAAAAAAAAACTAACCAATTTATAAACTGGGATGTTTGATAATTTCTTGACCGTTTTTGAGAGAACTGCCCGAAAAAAATTAACTTATTTTTAGGAAAACGTTAGAATACGCCTTTATATCTCTCATATTATATAGAAAAGCTTGTTTTAATGTTTATTTGTGTTCAAAAAAATATCAACTCGAGGATTTGAACGCAGAGACTGTCTAGTAACAGCACTAAACGCATGGTACTGTGTGCTATAAAAGACATATTGCGCCACGTCTTATGCAGATATATGCAGCTCCCTGGCAAATAAAAATCCATATGTATTGTGATAAAACCCATTTACTGAAAAACGAATAATTATGTGCTTGTTCGTCCCGACCGGTTTTTTTCAAGCTTCATTAGTCATAGCTCACATATTATTAAAGTTAAGATCGATCTTTGCCAACCTTCTCTTATAAGTGCGGATGAACCCTAAAGAGGCATCGCATCTTTAAAAATATAGCTGTGGCACCTAGAAAGTAAATGTATTTATTCAACGATAGACGATACAGGCATGTGTAGACCTGGTTAAGTCTTTCGGGTCGCCTCAATGAAAGCTGTTTCCAGACAGTTTGGATTCCGCAGAGGCTACCTTTATTGCGAACAAGACTAGTGCCACGCGCAAAGGAAACCTCGGTGGCGTACGTATTTTTATACCCGCAAGTATCGTTCATCAAATTTTGTCCATGATATGCTTTGCAAAAGTTTGGCCATCCATGGCCAGGGTCAGGCCCAACGTGTCAAGGCTATTCGCGTACTTCATGCGTACGTGTAGCATGTCAGAAACAGCGCAGTGGTTTCTACGGCGTTAGTTTATGGTCTCTGGCTCATTCGTGTTCAGAACAGTCCAGCTTCGTCTCAGCATACTATCGTCAAGGCAGCTTGACGAGAGTATGCTGAACCTGAAATTGGCTTCTCGTCCGGAAACAAGATCGTCAGCGTACAGAAATGTTTTTACCTCTCTTTCTAGATCGTGGCAGGTTCGTGAGCAGCAGAGAGAATAGCAGAGGGCTCAGGCTGTTACCCTGTGCAACGCTAGTTAACTGGCCAAGCAATTCCAACTGGATTACCTCTACTCACTGTCCGTACTATCGGTCTGATTAATGGCAGCATCTCCTGTGCAACTCCGCACCTTATTATCTAGTTTGTCTCCGGGGGCCATATCATATGCTGACTTAGAATCTATAAGCACAGCAAAGAGCATCTGTTTTAACTTACGACAGGCACAGTGTACCTTCTAAAGCAATATCGTGCGAAATCATGATTGTTCGACGAAAGTTCATGATCAAGCTTTCAAGAACCTCGCCAACCGACGCGTAGTAAGATGACTCTCAATTGCCCTCCATAATTCGAACGTTTAGGAGGGCTTCATTTCAGCTCGTTAGTAAACAAGTATTAAATAGACCTGTCCAGCAATTGGACGTGTTAGCTGTTTCTCAAGTGGTCATTGTGGATCAGGTTGAAATTATTCTAGAAAACGTAGTACCTCAAACGTAGAGAACTGAGCCGCCAGCTCCTAGGTCATTATAGAAATTTGGTCATCCCATGTAACGTGCATAAAAACACGATTAGTGAGATGGGAACATATTTCTGAAATGTTCTATTAGCTCCGTGAGGTTTGTAAAATATAATGTTGATTTCCCTTTTCGTGCTCATTTATATGGCTCGTATTATACTGACCTGTTCTCTTTCGGTGCAGGGAACTACTAACGATTAGACTCAAGTATTCGCCGATATCAACTTTTAGAAAAATACAGAGCAGCTTCATAACAAAGTGGCTCTCGGTCAATTTCTGCGTCAGGCATGATGCAACAGCGGCTAGTTTACAACTTATATCAGACGGTACTGGAGCGGCTTCAAGTAAGTTAGAGGTAAATTTAGCACTTGGGTCAAGATGTCGGTATGAAAAATGATGTACGTATTTCGTGGTACCGGGAACAGGGTTATCAATTCGGGGCCTAGTTCGGTCGAAATCAGCACTCGCTCCAGAGGTCGACTCCAACTCTTCTCGCTTACCGGATTATTTTTTTCAATCGAGCGCTTAGGTCTCTAAAATGGGATGCAAATATGTCGACTACTGAACTAATATAACCCTCAAATGGTTGTCGGTTGCTATCCGAGAGACAGGTGGTGTTAGCAACAGTAAAGCACGGGTCCTTCCCTCTGTATCCCTCTGTACAACAAATGATTTTGTTTAACTTTACTTTTTCGTCTCAGCCTGCGGTTCTCGGTTGTTCCGAGCTCCGACCACTGCTTTGCAATCGGCTCTAGGACCCAGCTAGGATCGGCTCCCTCTGAAGTGCGGTTTATTGTAACAGGACATTTTCCGAGTCTGCGTGTCCGCTTAGTGCCTGTGTGAGGAAAACTGCTGGAATCGAGAGAGGCAGGGACGTACACCGCTTCTTCTTCCAAGGCCTTTCGCCGCCATAGTGCTGTCTGCTATGATGGTTCTGACGTTGGGGTGGGGATTGACCACGATCAGACGGTCACTTTGTTGAAGTTTATTCAGGTTAGTCAGTGTCTGTCACCTAGGGGCAGTGGCGTTTTTGTCTGCGGTCATTTGAAGGGCCTCTTGGAGATGTGCTCGTATAAGCGCGACGAAGGGTGAATCGCTACGCACAGCGATTGACGGGACGGCATCGTTCCCTGCATCGCATTTAGCTGAGAAAAGGACAACACATGGAGTTCAGAGTCGGATCGTTTTGAATTTGAAGTCAAGGGTATTTGACCGCCGTAGCAAAAAAGGTGTTCTTTGAACTCCAAGCACCCCAGGTAATTGGTCTGCAAAAGGACCATTACAAGGTGAAAGTGCTGCTGATGCACCTCGCGACTTTCGACTATGTTAGTTATAACCATCTTCCTTGTTTATCGAACGCGTACGAGAGTCTTTTACGAGGGAGCTCCTCTAGGGCAGGATCCACCGGGTCCGTCACCTTGTCGCACATTATCAACTGCGATTTCCTAGAGGCGTGTGCGGTCAGCAGAAGGATTCTTCTTCGCCATGATGACCGTGTCGGTCATTTCGGGGTTCGATCTACTAGTCACAGGAGCTTTTCGTATCTCTATGAGATTCCCCAGGTTTTGTATTATCCTCATACTATCCATAATAGCTTTATGTAAACATTTGAATATATGCAATCCGTCTTTGAGGAAACGTGAAATTTCAGCTAAATGTATTTCTTCGTCTATTTTGTTAACAAAGTCTTTAGTATTGAGGAAGCATTCATCTGAAAGCAATTGTTTACAACATTACATTGTACTGCACATGCGTATGTGGTAAATGTTTCGAGTTTAACGCCCGACTCTGCTGTTAGGCATTCCATCAAACGCTTTCTACAAATAAACAGTGAAATCTGGGACCCCGTCCAACAGTAAATAGGGCTGTTTTTTTAGCTACAATTCACAACACATAGATCAGGTGGCACAACGAGTTTATTAACGGCCAATATTCAAGCTAGTACTATTCGTTACAACGTAACCGATAATGTTGGAAATTTGATTTTATTTACCAGCTTACCGTTATAAACTTTAGTTTCTATCCAGCATTCTAATCTACGCGATTTGTTTTTACTATCCGTCTGATCGAATACGATATTGTTCTTGGATTTAATGTTAATATCTTGGTGTTTTTTTTTACCTGTAAGCCATACACCAGATTGCGTTTTGTAACTAAATCAATTAATTTTGTTAGATATAAAATGTTATTTATCATATTGTAAATAATATGACTGGTTTTTCTAAATGACAAACCAAATGTACGAAAATTTACTCGATAGTTTTACAGGTGGATCTATTAAAACAAATTAAGTTAAGTCCCTCAGCTGTCGAAAAAAAGCATTTTCAAACAGAAGCATACGTTTATGTGGAATCGATGTATGAAATTTCTACAAGAGCGCTTGAAGATGATCGAATTATGCACATTTTCGCACTATCATCCCGCAGGATTAGTCCTGCCTCGACGAAATTTTTTTAAATGATCACGCCAGTTACCAGTTTATTTATTAGTTTACACAAGATTATTTCCTTGGTAGCAATATCTTGTATAAGTTCTCGCAAGCTCCTACATTGTCGTAACTTGAAACAACTGTGATTGAAAACTTTACGCTGTCTAACTATTATAGAGGAGAACAAAAATATTCAGGCCTCATAGTATGACATGCGTTACTGAAGCACTGTGTCAGTCGTGGCTAACCTGAATCGTTATTGATTCCTGTGAATTGTTGCTTAAAAGCATCTTTGAGTTCATCTGGTTTCAGTTATAGCTAATGGTAACGATCTAACAGACACACATTTAATAACATTTCTGGAATAGGGTTTCTTCTGTTCGAAGACAGACTATTGTGCGAACGTAACGTGTGAGGGTCCACTAAGGTGCCAAAACGATGGTTATGGGAATAGCTCTTGCATTTGTCCAGAGACGACTCACGAGATGCTCAACGGGACGTGCATCGATCGTGACGAATGCTCAGGACCTAATCTGTGTCAAAGGTATGCCTTCCTATTTACCACAGAAAAAAAACACGCTTCGCTTAATCAATGTTCAACTCAGACAGAAGTAATAATTTTTCATATCGTCATCATTTTTTTCTATGCTCTATATAATCCACGTTCAGTATCTCGTAGCGCCGTTCAGTTGACGTTCGACACAGATTATCTAATCTTACTGGCCAAGCTTTGATAAAAAAAAAACTCCAGCTCGAGGATAATTTTCAGCTTCTGAAATCAAAATTAATGTTTCGTACGCAACACTAGCACTATACGCCGTTCACGTACTGTACACGGAACATTGACATACAGCCTTATAGCGCAATAGATGCCGCATTAGGCATGAGAAGGCGAGATGGCCAAGCAAACACAAGTAGCCATTCGAACTGCCAACGTAGACGTAGGTTTATGCATCGTGCAATCAAGCTGTGAGGCTACTTCGCAGGTTGCACTTCAGCCAGCCGACCTTCAATAAGATTCTCCTGGGTTATACGGCATTTGTTCATTATTCCGGCGAACGAAACCCCCTAGCGGTAGCTTCTACATATTTTGTAGACAGTTCAGACGGTTTTTACAGATAAAGACTCGGACAAGCGAATGCCCTTTCCTTTCCATGCGAAAACGATAGGATACAATATAAATACTGCGTTGAGTCGGCTTGTAAACAAAGCGCGTTTCAATATGAGGAGCAGTAGGCTGAGTTCTGCTAACTTTATGAGATGGCATCAACTCAAGACGATACAAAACCATTTAATGGCTCTCAACAATTACTTAACGCTTATTATTATAGCAACAACATGATTATGATCACCAGCCGACCGCATCACATAATTCTATTAATTATAAAAGGCATTTAATCTATCTCAAGCTTAACTCTTGATAGAAAACGATTAACTTTCTGCTCGTAAGTTATGCACTGGTATCCCGTACCGGCCGTGGAGAGTCACTTATGGCTTAAATGATCATATAGATAATATCCTTCAAACTGTGACGATTCGGCATGCTCAGAGCTCTCTGCCGTAAGTTTAACTTGCAATGTTATTCTAGTAGCTACAGTGAAAGATATACAGCCGTAACTTTTGGTGACAGTATTATGTTTGTAATCCATCTTCAATAACATACAGTAAAGCGAAGCGTCTATGCAGTCAATGGCTGTGCTATCGCTCATCTAAGTTTTGCAAGATGTAACGCCCTTTTGGCCATGTTGCATCAGAGGTGATTTCTGTTACATCGTCGACTATTTATATAATCGAATCTGTAGCAGTGGCTAAGTTTAACGGAAACATAACTTATTGAACCGGAATAATCGTTTTCTATTAAATAGTTTAAAAGTGCATCATTTTTTTTTCATTATCGCTTCTTCGTAGCGAAAATTAGTTGTGCTCTCAGCCTCTTACTTTGTTTAGCCTTAATAGTTATAGATTTTTCGTTTGATTTTTGGTAAATTTCTATTTCAATTCCACACTGTGAGTAAATATGTCCCGGCTTCGTTCTACACAGGTATGATTGATTTATCAAACACATAATACTACTAATACACTTTTAAGTAATATGTCTCATTGCACGCTATGTTACAGGATTATTGGAGGTTCAGTTTGTAAGAACCAAAACGGTTCGTATGCTTGTATTGCGTCTCCATCATGCAATAATGATGGACCTGTTGTTAAGGTCAATCAAGACGGCATCTTAGAGGTCGAGGTACACTGTCCACAAAATCGGTCAAGCGAAGCTAATACACGCAGGCCAAAAGAGACGTGTGTTAAGGGAGTATGCTTCTGCGTTATGGGCTACATTTTCGTAAACGATAGCGTAGGCTGCGTCGACATCGATGAATGTGCCATGAATCAAAGCGATTGTCCGAAAGAACTCCAGTGTAAGAATACCGATGGAGGTTTCGACTGTGTCTGTCCTATCGGCTACCGGGAAAGAGCACTGCAGCCGGTCAATACTATGACGCCCTATTACGACACCATAGAATGCGTTGACATAGACGAATGCTTGTTGGATCTGCATACATGCGCGTTCAAATGCCGTAATACGGTGGGGTCCTATGAGTGTATCTGTAAAGCCGGCTACATCAGTGACATAACGAAGAAAGTTTGTCTACCTTTAGGAGGCAGCTCGGTACTCGTCGTCTCGATGTTTGGAAGATTCCATCTGGCAGAAATCGATTTCGAAACAGATGATCTCAACTTTGTAGAGCAGAAAATGCGTTGCGAGGTTGGCGTCTCGACAATCTTTACTTACCACCAGACACAAGATCAGGCTTATTTCGTCAGTGAAGATCATAGGTCTATTTACCGAGGCTTGCTGAACGAAAGTTGCACGCGCATCATCTCTGATCGCAACGACATATCAACGTTAGAGCTGGATTGGGTTTATGGGAAGGTCTATTGGGCCGAAAGTAAAGGAATAATGGTATCCGAGATGAATGGGCAGTACATAAAAATTATTCTCGGATTCGAAGCTGTCATTTCGAACATGATCGTAAACCCGTTCAACGGATGGCTACTATTCACGTCAGAGGGACGACTTTGGCGGGTAGGTCTTGACGGAACTCATATGAGCCGCATCTTTGAGGAAACAAATGTTACGTCGTTGGCATTCGATGTTGAAGAGAGCAACATTGCGATTCAAACTGATACCAAGCTAATGCTCTGTCCAGAAGACTTCACCGATTCTCAGGGCTGTAACGATCTAGCGTATGCCTACGGTGTCGCTAATAGTACGTTAACTCTTGTTGACATGTTTGTTGATTTCGCACTTTTGGAAGATGACGAAAACACTCTAACAATGATCAGCCGCAATGGGAAGCATATACGTCGTCTGGCAGGAAACCATACGACTTTCAAGTCATTGCGAGGTCGAGTACTTCATACGATGAAACAACCGGTTGGTGGCCATAAATGCCGTATGCAGTGCTCACATCTATGTGTTAATTCACCTTCAGCTGGACGCTATTCCTGCCTCTGCCCCGACTTCGGTCTTCGCGAAGGCACTGCTGGTTGCACGGAAATTATAAGTCACGAATTTTGCCAAACGGAATCAGCAATGTTTTCAGTCGCGCTGTTCGTCGCAGGCCTAGCGACGTTTGTCATCGGTGCCTTATGCGTAACTTACAATATGTACGTCAACTATGGAAAAGGTACCATTAAGAGTCGGCGAGGAAAAACATTTTCAGTGAGCAGTCGCAACTCAAGCACTGCCGACACGCAAATAATGTGTTTTTCAATTCATGATTCGCTCGAAAGCGAGCTGGACGGACGTCAGTTTGTTAAACATGAAACGCCTTCAGATATAGTGGGCAATCAGCACGATCAATCAGTATGTCTTCAGGGCTTTGTTTCTTCATGAGATCTAGGACGAGAGCAAGATGTAGGACAACGTTTATCTATGCAGACGCGTCAAAGTGCTATAAATCAGAGAGAAAAAAGAGAGAAATACAGAGTTTGCTTTACTGAGGGCTCAAAACTCTACCATGTCCTGGAGAGATGAATTTCACAAAAAGTTTATTGATGATTGGTGCTTAGAAATGGAATTATGGAAAGGGAGTAAGTTGTTATTGGGTTCCTGCCGGATGTATGGTGACGCTCAATAATATGAGGCTCGAAGTCAGAGTATTTTTTTATAGAGTTATTTTATAAGCTGGCCCAACTTTATTCTTGTTGTAAGTTACGCTTGCTCAAACCCGTTTCAATACTTAGCAGATCAAAGATGCATAAGCATGTACTATGCGAACATTGAGCCTAGTCTGTAAATAAAGGTTTTCTTTGTGCACGATAAGTATGAATATAAAAAGACGTGTTGTTATTTTAGTATTAAGCGATGCTACAAAGCTTTATAATTATTCCAGAAACGCAGCCTAATTTTTAACAGTGGCACGAATCGACTGTTGAAACTGAGCTTGTCTCAATATTTACACTAGCTCAGCCTCTAGGAAGTGTCATTTTAGTCAAATGGATCGTTTGTTTACCATATAGAAAATTGGCTTTTTACATAGGTTTTAGCACGGCTGTAACGTGCAGCTTGTGCTGCACGTTCCAAAAGTGCATTTCGAAGATCTCGACCCGCCGTAAGTACCGGTCGCTAAGAAGATCTCAACTGTCAATGGTAATATTTTTTTTCTAGAGAAAGGAGAATTCGCTCGAAAACAGCCAATCCAAGAGTAACCTTTTTATTGTCCGAGATGTGTTCTGTAACAAAGACTCATTGATCAATTCGTGGTAAGAGGGCAAATAACGGTTATTACTTACTTTGCACTTGTCTGCATTGTGGTGTTCGCTAAGGCCACGAATGGCCTAAAAATTACAATGAGAAAATTAAAGTGGGCATATTAAATCATTACGGCTCAGTTGGAGCGATTACTGCGTAAAACACGTACTGCCTTTATTTTTCATTAGACTTTCTGCACACTAAAAAGATCATCAGTGTCAGTATTGTATCTGATAGTAGCGTTCCAAAGCCAGTCAAACCCTACTTCTCAGACACCGAATGTATAAGTGCCTTCTGCGTCTTCTACCTGATCTGAGGCGTTGTGACTACTACGATAATGCATTTTCTTAAATCTTCCTTAAATATATTAAGACATTTTTGTAAGTTGAAAAAAGGACATCACTTTTTTACACGAAGCGCTCGACTCGCACAACTTTACAGCGATTACGGCGTTTCTACCAATGTGACGTGAATACGTTGTTTTGCTTGGCTTTTCACCGATCTCATTAGAGACCTTTTTTACACGAATCGATTAAACGTATTAACGTTATTCGTGGAAAAATAGTTCCATTGAATGATTAATTATGATTCATGTCTTTGACATTTTTCGTGCAGTCCAGATAGACTCTGCATAGCAGCAATAAGTGTGTCAATGCGTTTTCTACAGTTGTTGGTTGGGGTTAAAAGTACTGCAATTAAACAGACGCGTTAGCTATATTCAAGGTGCTTACGTTAGCGGGTCAAAACGATGTTATTCCAGCAGACGCCGGAAGCTTGACTGAACACAAGATCGAGCAAAACTACTAGACGCCTCGAAAACTGTATGCCTTCTAATTTTTCACATTTAAGGCCGGATATAGACAGGCAGGCAGGCAAACAGCCAGCCGTCTGATGCGGTGTCTAACGGCGATATACCGGACGCCTTCGCATTGGTTGAACTCGAAACATAAGAGGTTCTCCCAGTACAAAAGACCGCTACTAGGCCTCAGTATGGTTGTCTGGGCAGTCGAAATAATTTTATTTCTTGTCACGGTTTTTGGCATAAGAATTGTGTCTGCATCAGGCCGATATGCTTCGCACGAGATAGATTGTCTTAGTTTCTTTTAACGACATGAATTTGGCATAGTGACGTCTGTGACGAATACAACGACTGCAGAAGTAAAATTGACGGAAATTTCTGCGAATGTTACTCAGCTGTCTTATGAACTTGAACATGTTAGTAACTACATCGTACGGTTAAAAAGGTAGTACGACGAGAATAATAAAAACGATTTTTATTTGTCAAAGATGTTTAGGTGTAAGTTGAAATTCTAATTAATTGAATTCTACCTAAAGTGTCATACCAGATAACGTGTATGGTTACGAATATTTTTATTCTCATAGAGTATTTATCTCATAGAGATATAAATATTTTGAGCCGTTCGTATTACTTTATGTTTTTCCGAAGACTAGTCTCTCTGATCTCTTTCAGTGTTCAAACAATTTCAAACATTCAAGCCTTTGCTGTGAGTTTTGTATTTGTAATCTGTCACTGCGGTCCAAAATACGCACGGGGGATATCAGCATCCAACATTAGGTAAGAAACGCGTAGATAAATTGAAATCCAGCGGAGGCATAGGGGGCATCTAGATGCCTGCCTTGGATGCCTGGATGCCTGATTGACGAGTGTTTAACGGAATCGCGCACTTACGAAGATGATCAAATTTACGTTAATACTAATCTGCATTTCACTTTGAATTTGGAATTTTTCGTTGGATATAATTGTTTTTTTCTGAGTGTAGAGTTCACATGCTCTCTACACATAGGTGTCCTTTGAATCAGTCAGTTTTTCTAAATGTCTCTAAACTTGGTTTCATATCGTATAGAAAAAACAGACCAGTTGATTTATAGGTTAGTTTCATTTTAGGGCTACAAGTACCTATATTCTGGTAGAAGGTAAACAATGCAATCTCTTGGATGTGTGTTCCCAGTAAACTCACTGAAAGACTGCCAAATTAATAGAAATTCTATTCATTCTTTAAGTATTTATAAACTGACAGGATATACTACTCTACAGATTATAACTGTTTAACATTTATCAAAAATAGCGACTAGCCTAAATTAGCTCAAACCTGGACTGGTATAGATATGTGCTATTAATATATTTGTAAAGACTATTGTCAAACAAACATCTCAGCTGTTTGCCTTTTTGTAACCGATGAAATGAAGGCCAAAAGTCTGTAAACCCCAATATTATGCAAAAGTTAACCCCCCAGAGATACAGATAAACAAAATGTATTGACTTTTGCGTCTTTTGCTTTTAATCGAGCAAATCTCACCGTTGTAATTTATCTAGATGTACAAAGGGTCGCGAGGTATATAATGCGCTTATGAGAGCGTTAAGCCTGAAACCGGCATTCAAGTATTATCATACCATATGCGGCTTGAACACAGTAACCTCTCACCCTAGGTAGATCCTAATGACCTTTTCCATTTTAATACTTTGCCGTTGCTATCAACAGGGTCGTTCACATGTAGATGTATTCATCTAGGTTATATCTATAATAAGTGGACCAAAGTCTGTGACGACATCGATGAATGCCCAGAGACACGTACGAATCACCCAGAACTTGTAAAAATAAAGATCGATCTTATGAATGTAATTGCTCGGACAATTATATCCTCCTGTCTCACGGAAAGGGAACCAAAGGACCCCCAAAACTGTTCTTGTAGCCATAAATGAAACTAATGGTCTAATTCTTCCGGTAGACTATAAGGTCTTTATTACTTTTGTTACGCACAAATAATATCCTTTCAGGGAACATTTCGTGGAACATTAAAATGTCTTTAGTTTTTTTGTAAAGCCCTGCGCTACGAAGAAGGCGGCGACAGGCGTAGCAAGTACATCATGCTATGGGGCGAGGGAGTGAATTGCTTTCATGCCTGTTCCATATTAACAATAGAAATTGTTTCTCCTATAACAGTTGGGAGTGATTGTGTTATTAATCCATAGAGCCTTAGAGAAAATGCTTCGATAAACAGATAAGGTACGCGGTTCCATCTATATTCTCAAAATAAAGAGGATAGTGTATATATATATATATATATATATATAGGCCAATTCTTTAAACTATGTCTAGATGGGTATGTATGAATAGTAGCGGATGAGCAAATCAACTGAATAGATAAACAGGAATTTTAATGATCGTATGAGGGGTTCTAAGAGAATATATTGTTACCAATCATCCAGCCTTATAACCATGCGTTCGTGCATTCTGTGTAACAAATATTATTAATGACATTATTCTACTGATGACGTTACACAGGGTTATTCCTGCGTGATAAAAGACTATTGTGAAGAGAGGACGTGTCCTTTACCATTCCTGTGCCGAAATCTTGATGACCAGGGAAGCCGGCTGCATTCGCCCTGAGATAGGCTTCGAAATTAGATATGTATCGACCGCGATGAGTGTCAAACATCAAATCTATGCGAAAGGTATCATTTTCTGAACATATCAGTTCGGTCACTTAGTCAGATTCAATACAATGTTTTTTTCTCGTAGGAATTCGTTGCTATGGATGCGAAAACCATTGAGGCTTTCCTCATCGGAGCAATCCGCCTCTATTGATGGAGTTGTCTGTGTAACTGAGGACTGCACGAGTTTTTACAGAATAGCTTTACAAACGGAGATCCATTATGAAGCCATTATAAAAGTTCGTTAATAATGGTTAGTGCCGGTAACTATGGTCATAATAAAAATAATTACTGATACAATCCTCGGCAGTCAACACACATACGACTTTATATGTAACGTTTTCCGCAAAATCACAGTTTTAACATTGTGAAAGTTAGCTTGCTAATTTTTTTAAATCTGTAATTTAATATTTCTTTATGCACTAAGTTATTGGCGGAGCGGAATCCTTTAACCTGGAAGGTCCCTATAACTGCAAGTGTTTAAATGTTGAAGGCGTTTCAACAGTGGAGCTGACCCTTAGAGATGGCCTGAAAATGAATGTTTGTCGTTCGAACAATCAATGGTCCGAACTGAGTTGCGGACCTCAACAAGAGTACATACGAGGAACATGTTGTTCCGCCGAAGGCTGCATTTATATTGGTAGTAACAGAGGGCATCGACGAATGCGCCACGGTCGAAACGATTGCCCAGAACGTCCAAAATAAGCCCGGCTTTGCTTGCGTTTGCCCTAATGGCTTTCGAGAAATATCCATTACCCTCGCATCTGGTTACGAAAAAATTGGCTGTGTTGATATTAACAAACGCTCCTAAGGTTCACACACGTGACACTTTATTTGCCGAAATAGATAAGGCTCTTTTGATTGTAGATGCAAAGCTGGCTACATTAACGACTTCTGGTCTCTAATGGTGGATAATTTTACCTTTTTTTTTTGGAGGTTAGAGGCAAATGCATTATGCAGACCGGACATCACTGGATTGTATTTTGTCCGGTACTGTGGGACTCTCACCCACTAAACTCTGGACCCCTTTATCAGCTTGGGTCATGGTTCGGGATATGAAACCATGACTTGCAGGAACGGTCATTTCATCATCCTTCCCTT